GTGATAGATGCTAGTGCAAGGTGTTGCACTAATCAGCAAGGCAGTGGGGTCAAGTTTATACAACGTGCTAACCCAGAATTCTTCTGAATACTAGTGTATCATTCCCCTCAGTTCCTCCTGTAAATATGAGCAGTTAAACTAAGCAGGAACTTATCAGGGTAGAAAACCTCAGTGTTGTGTCTCTGCTGGGATGGAAGCCACAGTTCAGAACCAGGGTTTGAAGCTGACTGCTGGATCCAGGCTGGTTAGTAGAGCAGTGCTTCAGTCATAATATTAAACTTTTCTGCCTGGGTGAATTCCTGTTGGTTTAGCTGTTCTTGCTTACAGGGGGAACTAAGCAGGAACTGCTGGGCAGCAAGAATCAGCATGCTTGCTCACAAAATAGACCAGGATTTTGAGGAATTCTGGGTTAGGATTTTGTGTTAATGTGGCAGTGTTGTCCACTACTCCAGGGGGAGGCCGCCTGGTGCCCTCCAGATATTTTGGACTGCAACCTCATAATCTGACTATGCTTTCTCCTAGTCCTTGTACAACTGTTTATGGAACAAAACTGCTGCCAAAATTTATTCTCCTTCAGTGTACTTGGATCTATCCCAAAATCTTGGTAACCTTCAATTGAAGAGCTTGTTAAAGAACAGAAATACTGTTGATGGGGTAACAGCTTTGCTGGGGCTAACCCATGTACATTGGCAAGTCCAAACTCTATCCCTAAATGTGGCTATTTGAAACAATTCACAGTTATTCATTGATCTTAAAGGCCAGTGATTTGTAAACTTTATTTTGGAACTTTCTCTAGAGACTTGCAAAACCTTTTCTTTCTTAGCTTGTCATTCTGTTGGGTTGACTTTTATCAAAGGGCACTAAGGGTATTCTGTAACTGATTTTTAATAAATTCCAGGTTTGGAATCTAATGGAAGTAAGAGGTATCAGATGTATTGAACTTGACAAAGTCAAAGCTCTGTTTGATGGGGTTTGCATTTGGTTAAATTAATCTTAAGTGGAAACATCTGTACAGTTGAATCTGAAAATGCAAATGCTCAACCTCTTTCACCCTTTAATGTTAGATCTCCATGCAGAGAAGCTTGTCTCAGTGATGAGCACACAAGGTGGCTTTAGGCAAACCACCATCTCTCATTTCTCCTTTTCCCCATGTATGATGGGAATAATAATATCAGCCTACCTTACAAGGATGTTGTATGGCTTTTTGTAATAATGTAAAGGAAGTTCTTTGGCCCTTTGAGATAAGTGCTCTATAGGCAGTGACCTAGGTGGGAAATCTGCAGCTTTCCAGATTATCATCTTAAGTGAAAACATCATATATTACAACTGAATGTTATTTTGTCTAGAGCTTCATGACTGGACCCACCGGGGATATTTCTAGTTGTATCTGGAGTTGCTGAGAACTGAACCAGGGACCTTCTGCATGCAAAGCAGAGTTGTTACCACTCTTTGAGATTCAGAATTGCCTCTCAAAAGAACCAACTGGATTTGTGTACAAATACTATGTTTGTTTGTTTGTTTTCTATGCCACCGAACAGCCAAAGCTGTCTGTGTGGGTCATAAAGCACATTAAAAAAAAAAAAAAGATACATCATATTAAAACACATTAAAGCATCATTAAATGTTTACAGTACAAAATTTAAAACCAAATTTTAAACAGATTAATAACTTGAAGCAAAGAAAGAAAAAAGAAGAGAGAGAGCAAAAGAGAAGACCTGGTTTATTCATATTTCTCAATTTACAAGTGACTTGAATAGGCATTGCTGCACTACATCTGGGTATAGGGTTTTTAAAAAAAACACATGCTATATTCCTCTAAAACAGAAATGAGTATTTGAAAAAAATGAAAAAAAAACCCAGAAGGGATGGGATAAAATTGTGTATTGGATATAATTGACATGATGGATATGGTCCCAAAAATGCAATCAAGAACAGGGATTATTTAAATGTGGATAGTGAAATCCTAGAATATTTTTTGCAAGAAGATCTCTGGATTCTGTATTTTATGGTGCTCCTCAGTAGAACAGCTAAGTAGGGATAGGACATATTGGAGGGATGTCATTCACAGTATTGCCATAAGTCAGAGATAACCTGATGATGATGTTTCTTTCCCACCATATACTGTTTAAACCAGCGGATGCTCTCAGGTGCTGGTAGATAAAATACCAGTGGAAGTGGAATACTTAGATATATGAGGGCTGTCTTAAGACAAGAAGTCTCACTCTCACTTAGGAACCCCTGGGTCTTCCCGGTACTCTGAAACTCAGACATATTTGTGCCAACTGTGCAGTACTACTTGGTAGTATTTCTAGAGCTTTTAATTAAAGCTCCCTGATAATTTTTGGCAAATTTTGTATCTTACGCGCTAGGCCCTCTGTGAGCATGCAGGCTCACAGGTGGGGAGAGAAAGACAGCCCAGGAGAGGGTAAGTGATCGTGCAGAGAAGGAGAATGCAACAGGGAAGAGGTGGCTGGAGGAACAATGAAGGCATCTTGTCCGGGCATGTACACCCCAATCTGCTGGTGTTACTTTGGAAAACAGTTTAAATTTCTAGCTTACACACAGCATAGCAGCTGAAGAGAAAGCTTTTTAAATACTGTAAGCCCAGGCAGTATACAAGGTGCAAAACATTTTTTAATTAAGAGAATTTAAAGTTGACATGATCAGCAAAATTTCAGAATTATTTTTTAATTCTCAGGAAATTTCACTGTTGAAGTTTGACACTGAGGGATTCTTTGTTGAGGAATTTAAAGGACACACAAAACTTGAATGGACAATTGAATTCTATAGCTCCTCCTGCCCCAAAAGCCATAAATACAACAGTTCATCTGAACATTATGGAAACATTGAAGAAGTAAATCTCCAGATACAACAAAAATATTATTTCTAGAGAGTTTACATTAGAGTGTTCTAGAGTGTTTAGATTAGCCAGTGACTGTGTATAATACAGTTAAACAAACGCAGGCTCTTTATCAGGCTTGAAATGTAAAATAAAAGACAAATGTCAGAACCTGCCTGTGGTAAGCTAATGCTACAGAGTTGTTTATCATTCTCTCTCCCAATTTTTTTTAATCACAATGAAATGTAATCATTGTGGATGAAAACCCATCTTTGGCCCACTCTAAATTATTTCAGGATAATTGAGATTGAAATATAGGAGTAGTTAGAACCACCTAACCTGATCCGGTGCCTTCCATTCCCGGCAAGGCCAGAGGATGCTGGGCAACGCTGTCCAACACTTCTCGAAGGGACCAGGCTGAGGAGTCTCAACAGGAGCATTAGGAAAGTTTGGAAGACTCCATACTTAGAATGAAAGTACATGTGTATGTAGACATACCTGTGTTTTATCTGCTTGAAAGTGAGTGTGTAGGGCCCCCCTACTGGATTGAGGGCAGTGCACAGAGGAAAGGGGGATTTAAGTCTTAGCTTCTGACTACTTCCCTCCTCAGAACTCTTCCATGCACCCACACAGTTTCAAAAAGGAGAGGAGACAATAGTGGTATTAATGGAGGTTGCATTTTTCAACACTGGTGGTAGGATGGGGTAAGAGGGATGTTGGATCGGGGCTGTGTGAAGTCACTGTCAAATAAAAGCAGATACTGCAGGGGTTGCTATGCAATTAATGCGATGTGTCGGTTGACCTCCCTCCCTCTTGCTGGAGGTGGCAGCTTTTCAATGGATTAGGTCTCGTGCTTGAATTTCAGGGGCATGGTGGGTTTGGGTTCACTGTCTGTGTCTGTACTCCTGGCTTCTGTTTTTGGGAAGTCTCTGGGGAACATGATTTAGTATAAATGGGTGCCAAGGGTGGGGCTAAAGGGAGTGGATTTTATTAAAACCCCCCCTCCCCCCACAATAATTCAGTAGATGGGTGCTAGTCCTGAGGGTTGTCTGCTGCATCCTGCATCAGAGGCTGGTTGCCTACGTTCTTCAGTTGCTGGGGAACATGGGTGGGAGGTGCTGTGCGTTCCTGTCCTGCTTGTGGGCCTCCCATGCTGAACTGGGCAGACCTTTGGTCTGATCCAGCAAGGCTCTTCTGGTGTTCTTACAATTGCACAGATTGTGAGCTACCTGCACCACTCCGTGTGCATGTGAGGGTGAAGACCTGTCGTTCCCCCTGTTCTTCTATGTTGCTTGCTGGAGATTTTGGGCCTAACAGGGTGGAGGCTATTTTCTTTGGCTCCAGGCCTCTTTTGCCTCCTGACTTGGAAGAGGAGCCTCTGGGAGATGTGACAGAACCGGTATGGTTGCTCTCACAGCTTTGCTCCCTAAGTCTCTCACCACCAACCTGCCTCATCCAGCCAGTTTGCTCCTTGGTTGCTTTTGCATTTGTTTAGGGCGGTTTTGTGGAGGTGAGTTTACCACTTTTGGAGCTGTCAACTTTTGAACCAGCCTCTGCCACTGCCTCTTTAACCAGGAGATCTTGTTTCACTCCATGCAGTCGCACCAGCTGGTTTCTACATAGTGAATCTCTCTTAAAGGGACAGGAGTAGTTTATGCCAGGTTGTGCCCCCCCCCACCCCATATATGTGTGTCTAGCTGTGGTTAAAAGGAAAATGGCAGGGTGAAGTTTTTTTAAAAGTAAGTTTAGTACTCGAGATGGTAGAAAGGACAAGGAACTGCACCCTCCCCCCTTTTTGCTACTGGCTTTCGCTACGCCTGAGATTGCTTCTTTGGCTTCACTTTTCTTGGGACCACCAAGCTTCTTCTCCACTCTTCACTTCTTCTCCCCCCCCCCAACAACATATTTCTATGTCTGCCAAAAAATTTCTACCCCTTTTCTGGGCCTGCCATTGCCATAGCAACGACCTAGCAGTGACCTCATCTCCTGCCAAGTGACAGAAAAGGAAGGAGGCACCAGGAGGGGAGGGAGGGGAAGCCCACCAAGGAAGGACAAGAAGAAGAGGGGGGCAGGCTGGAGGGGGGGGGTCCATGCACTGTGCACACATACACTGATGCAGCTAAGCCGTTAACCCGTTCATTTCCCCATTTCTGCATTTCAGGACTCAGCATCCGAAGCTCACAGGAGGAGGAACCCGTTGACCCACAGCTGATGCGCCTGGATAATATGCTCCTAGCTGAGGGGGTAGCAGGACCTGAGAAAGGGGGGGGCTCTGCCGCTGCTGCAGCCGCTGCTGCAGCGGCAGGGGGCGTGTCCCCGGATAACTCCATTGAGCATTCCGACTATCGCAACAAGCTTTCCCAGATCCGCCAGATCTACCACTCGGAGCTCGAGAAGTATGAACAGGTAAGGGTGTTGAATATACCTGGCAGGGAAGCCATTTAAGAATCTGAGGGAGGGAGGAAACGCATCACTAAAAAGGGCAGTGGTTTGCATAACATTTGCATATGTTGATATGTAGATATATACATAAATTTAGAAATAATTGCTGTAATGTGAAGAAATACAGTAAATCTTACCATAGTGGGGAAGATTGTGGCTAGGCAACCTGCATGCCTGCCTTGCCCAGGTGTTAACAATGGATGGGCAATTGTTTGCAAGGTTCACTAACTTTAAACTGGAACAGGACAGGACAGCCATACAAATAGAGGTTGCCTTCAAATAGAGAGAGTTTCCTGGTAGCCCTTCAGATAGAGGACTGTCCTCTGTCAAATAGGACACCTGGCCAATTTATATCTGCCTTATTATGCAAGTGCTTTTAACCTTATGTTCTTGGTCTGTGTTTGATTGTTCTTGAATTTTGGATTCAGGAGCATGGGCAGTGCCAACTCATTCCTTGCTGCTGCCCCCTCTGTATGCTAAAGCTGCAACTCTGAGAGGCCCTGTCCTTTTCCATAGGTATTTTGAATCCTGATTTTAACAACTTGCCTGCAAGATTTTGTTCTACTTCCAGCAATTAGAAATTGTAATGTTCAATTCAGTTGTAATTGTATCTTGCGTGCCACTTAGAGAACCCTGTTGGATTACTCAGCAGACTATAAATTTAAAAATAAATACATTCAATAAATTGGTTTATCTAGATTTGGGCTGTTCCCTCTGGGAAAACACTGGTCCCACAACTCCCACTGGGAAGGAAGCCAAATAATTGCTGGACTGTAATGGTGCCTGTGTAGAATGGATAGCTGGATCACACCACTGACTCCTTTCCGACATTGTGCAGCTCCCTGCCCCTCACCTTGAAAAGAACCTACACACATGCTCTCTCTTCATGAAGCCTGGAACCGTGTATGATTGGGATATATATGATATAGGAAATAATTGCTTCATTTCTAAATTGATTGCTATGTAAGAATTAAAAATTATAAATCAGAATGAATTATTATAAAATTAGCTGAAGGAATTATGAAACAACAGAGCTGCTTAGGTTAAACAATTTTAATACTAAACTTTACAAGAACAATAATGCAAATTCTTGGCAGATCCACCACCATCTAACCATAACCAGAACTGCTTCCATTTATCACCCAGTTGCCTTTCTTTTTCAAAGCTTGAAAATGTGACAGCTTTTTTCTCTCACTCACTATACAAAGAGCTAAATAATACAAGCAAATGTACAATGTCCACTGTAGACCATAATACCTTCCAGTATAAGATACACTGTCCTCTAAAGTTTCTAAATGGCTCTTTAAAACTTTCAGGAGGTTTTTGCCTCAAAAGGACTGTTCCCCACTTTGATTTCTCTTCCTTTGGTCTTTGCCATTTCTGAGCTGGGGAATTTGGGCTCCAGACACACAGAAGCTGGCATGAGTTTGCTTATCCTTTTAGGAACCCAGAAGGCTGCTGTAGAGTGAGTCAGATCATGGCTCCATCTTGCCCGATATTGTGAACAGGTTTTTTTCGCGCCCTAGTGGGAGATGCTAAGGATTGAACCAGGACTTTCTGCATACAAAACAGTGCTCTACCATAGAGCTCTGATCATTTCCCATAGTCAGCCATCCATGTGCAACATGTGGGCACTGAGTGCCAGGGACCTGCTGAACACTTGGATGTGCAGCCAGTGCTTGAGTGCTGCTACTCCTTTTATGCAGAAACTTTCCTCTTCCCCATGGATAATGCTTGAAAAAGGACAAAGTCCTTTAATACTTTATCAAGCCTGAATGTGATGAAGAAAATGTGCTTAGGGTCTGTCCCACAAGACACCTTTGATCTATGAAAGCTGAATTTTTAAATCGGTGTCTTGCTGTGATACCACTGGGTGATCTGGTCATGTCAGCCCTATGACCTAATGATTTAAAAAAGCAAAGGGAGGGTGATTCCACATCTATGCAGAGTGACTTTATCACTGGGGAACCACTTCCAGTAGGTACTCTGGGGAAGCTTTTATTGTGCAATTGCTCTGCCACATGCATGGAATTTTTCCAGATGACATCTTTCACTCATATCTCTTCCATACTTCCCCACCATGTCTTCCATCTTTTCTTTCCTCAAAATTCAGTTAAGAGGATATGGCTGCACACTGTCTTTCTCTTGGAGGTGGTAGGAGGAGGGGTGAAACTGAACCAACCTGGATCAGACACAGGTGGCACCTCATTCCACACTAGCTACACAGAAAAATGCACATGTATGACTTGTCTTTTTTAGCACACAGCAAATTGATCTGGGAATGGAATGACTTATTGTGGAAGCATGACAAATTGTTTCAACATGAACTTGACAGCTTCGCCTGACCCTGCCCTTTGTTTGGAAGCATCCTGGTTCTTTGACCAGGGGTATCTCTGCTAGCCCTGGAGGCTTTTTTTTTTAAGCTGCTATCTTCTGCACACTCGCTTAGGAACAAGGTGTTTTGAAATCAGTCCGGCTTACTTCTAAATTACTGTGCTGCTGTAATGGAGTGTGAGGGATTAATCCATGTACTACAATGCCATGTACTATAATGCCTGTTAGGGCTAGAGGAAGGCTGCATTGCATCGGGGCTGTGGGTTCAAGTTCATATGTTCAGCTCACCTTGTGCCTCTTCCCTCCTTCCCCTCAGGCCTGCAATGAGTTCACAACCCATGTGATGAACCTGCTTCGAGAGCAGAGCCGCACACGCCCCGTGTCGCCCAAGGAGATTGAGCGCATGGTCAGCATCATCCACCGGAAGTTCAGCTCTATCCAGATGCAGCTGAAACAGAGCACATGCGAGGCTGTCATGATTCTGCGCTCCCGCTTCCTCGATGCCAGGTTGTGCGGGGAGGGCGGCTGCTCACGAGTCTACAGCGTTTGGCTGGCCTTGCTGGTGAAGCCCAAGGCCGGGCTTGCCGGGGTGTACACCCTCAGCTGGGTTGATGGAGGCCCAGCAGTAGAGGATCCTCCCCGTGCCCCCTTTCCTCTGGGAAAGGCAGGCAAGGAGCATCCTGGCCTCAGCTGATGCTTGGCAAAAGTGCTCAGGGTCCGTTTGCCCACCAACAGCTGAAAAATCCTCCCACCATGCTTTTTTCTGTGGGAGAGGCAGAGAGCACGCGGACTTTAGCCACTGCTCAGTAGTAAGCCCCGCTGGCATCTAACAGCAGTTGAACACACGCACATACACACATACACAAATCATATGCACAGATACTTCTTTGCAGGAAAGAGAGGCAGGGAATGTCCTGGCTTTGGCTGTTCCTTTCTTGTTTTGGAGCAGAAGGGGTGGGTGTCTTGCCTTTTTGATGCTGCACTGCCACACAGGTGTCAAACCAGGGCTGAGCCCTAGCTGAATGGTGCAGCTTCTGCTTTGCATACAAAAGCCATTTTGGGCATATCGGTGATACGGAAATTAAATAACAGAAGGTCCTTGGTTCATTCCCCAGGTCAGGGCAAGGAAAGAATCGTGTCTGAAACTGGAAGGTGGCTGCCAATAATGGTCAACAAGCTGCCTAACGTAGCTTCTGATGTTCCTAACTGGCTCCACTCTTCCTCTCACCCTTGGAGCTTGGAACAATCTTCCCCCAGCTCTGTAGTTTCAAGGCTGAGAGGGAGGCTCATCACTCACCACAGTCCCTAGACAGTAGTACCCTGCTCACAAAGGTGAGTGTAATTGTTGAGCTTGAATTTGATTTTTTTTTACATTTATGCACCACCTTTCAGTAAGTCAAATAGTAGGCACCAGGCAAGGCTTCTTGGGGAGAGAATTCCATAGGTGTCAGTGAATTCTGGATTGTAAATGTATGCAAATTGAACAAATGTTTGCATATTTTTTGCAGTGTTTTGGTGTAATTTATTTTGTGTTTGCTTGGGAAAGGACCAAGAATCTAGAGACAGCCCTGAATTCCTGTTTCCACTGAATGGAATTTTTATCCAGCCATTTCTCAGACTTCTAAGGTTTCAGCAGACACTACTAACATGTTTTAAAGAAACTTTGCAGTCATAAGAGGTAGAAATGAAATTTCTTCCTGGAAAAGTTCTGAGAATCTCCAGAAGCTGAATTCTGCACCAAGACTCCACTGGGCACCATTTCAGCATTTTGTGTACACAGGGCCCTGCTTTTTAGCTGACACGCTTGTTTCTATGTGGACTGAGTCTATGCGGTATATATGCTGTATGCTTTCTCAGAACATATGACTCCACTCTAATGCTCCTTGCCTCCTGTACCTTTTTTCCTCTTCTCAATCCCATATATTCCTCCCTTCACTCCAATCTGCTTCCTTTCTCTTCTTAAATTACTACTATTTCCCCCTTCTCTGCCCCTCGGATATACTTTCCTCCCTTTCTTCCCTTTTGCCTGTAGACGGAAGCGACGCAATTTCAGCAAACAGGCCACCGAGGTGCTCAATGAGTATTTCTACTCACACCTGAGCAACCCATACCCCAGTGAGGAGGCCAAGGAGGAGCTTGCCAAGAAATGTGGCATCACAGTCTCACAGGTATTGGGATGTGGGGGCAGGCTGAAGGCTGTGCTAGACAGGCCCTACAGATATCCCCTGGAGCAGGAGGAGCAACTTGGGATGGAGGGTGGTGGGGTATGGAGAAGTTTCTTTGCTGGGCTGTGTTGTCAGCACCTGATCCCCTCCTCCTCTTCCCCCTACCCACTTTTTCCATCATTCTCATTCCACTTCCCCTCCATTTTCATCTTTCCTCTCCCCTCCTCCCTCTCTTTTTTTAGGTCTCCAACTGGTTCGGGAACAAGCGCATCCGCTATAAGAAGAACATCGGCAAGTTCCAAGAGGAAGCCAATATTTACGCCGTGAAAACGGCTGTCAGCGCCGCACAGAGTGGGGGCGACTCCCCCAACACCCCCTCCTCCGCGGGTAACTCCCCTACCCCACAAAACTCCACTACACCCCATGTTGGTGCAGGAGTCCTCACTGGGTTTGGAGAAGCATGGAGTTCTCTCCTCCAACAAGCACTGGAGTTCCTAAGGAGATCCTTCTGTGACTATCACTCCCATCCCAATCTCAAAAGACAGTGCCCCCTACTGGGTGCAGAAGAACTACCCCCCCCCCCAACATATTAGCAAGCATATGAGTTCCCTTGTTAACCCTGGACTGCCCAGGGTTTCTTCCTCAGACAGATTCTCTTGGCTTGCTACTCCAGCTAATGAGCTTTGCATTTATTTATTTATTTGGGTTCATTTCTGCACTGCCCTGTAGTCAAAGCTCTCTGGACAACTGTATCATTTATTTATTTATTTTGCTAAAGGCAGCTGCATTTTCAGCCCCATTCACCATATGGCTGTGTTCCCCCTACCCCTTCCTCTGTTTTCTGGTAGGCTCTGGCGGTTCCTTCAATCTCTCCAGTTCTGGGGATATGTTTATGGGCCTTCAGGGCCTAAATGGAGATTCCTATCCTACATCACAGGTCAGTACCTTTCCTCCCATGCAAAATGAGGCCTCTGTTCCATGACTGAGTAAAAAAGATCCCCTCTTGATACATACTGTTGTGAGAATAGTGGTCAGGAGATGTGATATGTAAAGTCTAAAATGGCAGCTGTCAGGCTTGGTGATGGCATATCCCTGCATATCCCTGGGAGGGCATAACCTCAGCATGCAGGTATGCCAAAAGAACTTCCTTGTCTCATCCTTCCCTAAGCCCTAATCCAGTTTTCCCCAACTTGGGGCCTTCTAGATGTGTTGGACTCCAATTCCCACCATCCCCAGACCAGAGATGATGGGATTTGAAGTCCAACACATCTGGAAGGCACCAGGTTGAGGGAAGCTGCCTTAATCAACATTTTCAAAACAATAGAGGGCTGCAAGCTTTCAGGTAAATACACTAATGAACAGATACTTTAGTTAATTAGTGGTTGGAGCCTATTTTAATAGGTAGGAACAATCAGCAATTGGCAGGGCAGAGAGTTAAAGGTATGCTTTACTTTGGAAAGCTATTTTTTCATTTTGGTGTGTTGGTATAATAATGAGTAAAAAAATGAAAATATTCAAGATGGCCTTTTCTTCTGACAAAAAATAGTAGCTTTGGTTTGCCACAATTGCTTTTCAATAACTGACTGAAAATAGAAATTAAAAATTGAGATTCCACACAATACAGTACTTAATATAGCACTGTATGTAATGCCCTTCCTCATGACAAAGATCATTATATTATGTTTACTCCCAAGTAAGTGTTGGTCAGCAAAAGTCCTTTCCAGTGTTAATTAGAAGTGTCCTGTTGCATGTCTAGTCGATTATATTTCTTGCGACAGTGGCAGGGGAATTAATTATGAATAGCTTATTAATTGTTGTCTGAATAAATTGCTCTGGTGTTAATTTCTTTTGTGTGGGGAGGGGCTTTAATTAACGGAAAAGGCTTTAATTGATTATTGTTTCTTTTGCATTATGTTTTCACTTTTTTGCTTTATCCTGAAAGTGTTACTCTGTTATAAAAATTAAATGATACAAAATTAGGGAAATCTGCTATTTAAAAATTTACCTACTGTCTGAGAGAAAAAGGATGAGAGAGATAATAGGGAAAATAGATGGCAAGCATGCTCTGAAAAAACATGTTGCTGGATCTTCTATGTACCATTCAGTCTTCATGGCAGCCCCCACAAAACAAAATGGCATTTCTTGACTCAGTCACTTATCCTCCTGAACCTGCTGTCACTTTGCTCTTTCTCTATTTCTCCTTTATAACTAGGTGGAATCAATGCGTCACTCTATGGGACCCAGTGGCTATGGGGACAGTATGGGTGCTAGCCAGATGTACAGCCCACGGGAAATGAGGGTGAGTGTGTGTCAGTAAACTGATAACGTTTGTGTCTGGAGTGGTAATTTTCTGTCAGGCTGTACTACCTCAGACTGCATGAGAAGGCTTACAGGAAGAGATAAGGAGAGCCCTGCAGGACCAGAACAAAGACCCACCTGTTCCCACTTCAGTTTGCCTGACAATGGGCAACTTCTGGGAAACCCACAAGCAGACCAAGAAAATAGTAGCCCTCCTCTTGGTATTGTTCAGTAGCAATACTGAGTTCATTCAGGAAGTGTTTCTTTAGTCATCTGTTGTCCAAACTGGATATCCTGGCTTCTTGCTGCTTTTCTAAGCCAGAGTAATAAAATAGGTTTGTTCTTGGTTTGTAATTCCTGGTTTGTTCTAGAGCAAAAAGGCAGAATCTCCAGTTTGAACAACATGGTAAAGAAACCATTCTTGTTTAGGAACAAAATGGGAACTAATCAGCTGCATATGGCAGCATGCACTGTATTTAATTAATCTCTGGACTCAGCATTATGTGCAAATTCAGTTATGGTCACTGAACATGGAGGTTTAACTATCATGACTTGCAGGCATTGATAGACCTATTCCCATGTGACTTTTTCTAATTTCCCTTTAAAAAACATCTGAACTGCTGGTAGCCATGACATCTCTAAACCATCCAGAGAGCCATGTGGCTATTGTGACGGTCTATAAAAGTGTGACATAAATAGTGTGTCCAGTGTCCCTGTTCAGTGACTCCTAGAATAAATGAACCCTGTCCAATGACTCCAAGGAGTCTAGCAGTTTGTGAAAGCAAAAAAGCCTTCTCTGGGTTCTCTACCCTGTACACTATTTTATAAATTCCTATCATGTCAGCCTCTAGAGATTATCTTTGTATGGTCCTCCATATACCAAGATTTTAAAAATCCCCTGTACAGAAAACTGGATATCAAGAAGACAGGTTCTAGTAAAACCCTGGCCATGTTTTCCGAATGCAGGGAACTGTTTTGCATGGAGGAGCATTTGATTGTGCATCCTCCACCTGCAGTCTGAAGAGGTACAGCCAAGGCAAGTTTACCATCACAAAGGAAGTAGACCTCAGATCCTGGTTCTCTCCCCATCCTAGATCTGGATGGTGAGAGAAACTAGACACAAGATTCTTTGAGTTATAAGTGGGGTTTACTGTGCTACATTGAAGAAGTATGGCTAGAAACCAGGATTCCTGAGGTCAAGAGATGACTTGAGAGCATGCTCAAATAGTTTTGGGGCATGCTGACCAATTACTTGGAGAAAATCTGCTGCTGGAACTCCTGGTGACCAATTTTTTCACTTCAAAGCTGCCTTTCCAAGATGGCAAAGCTACATAATGCCTGGGCTAGCACATGGTTTATTTAACCAACAGACTGTTAACTTCAGGTTTATCAAGCTGTGTGAACTCAATCATTGTAGTAAAGCATCACTTGCTAACCAGGAATAACCTAGAAAGATATTCCTTGGTTTGCTGTTGGGTCGGGAACTATTGCATTGTTTCAGTGAAGGGTGGTTGTTATGTCTAAACCCAGAACATAAGTTGTTCACGGGTCGTTTCCCTAAGTTGCAGAGATGGTGGGCAAAAACTGTTTGCCCCTCTACATGCTGGTACCTCAGTGCCATAAAAGCATTTGTGTTAGGGGGAAGGAGGGTGAAAGGAGAGAGAAACAATAACAGGTAGAGATAATAAACCATGATTTGTTCAGTTATCTGCCAGACAGACTCTGTGCCAGTATTATATATGAATCAGATCACTGTTTGGGAGGCTGAGCTGACTGCAGTTGTTTCTCCCTTTCACTAGGCCAATGGTGGCTGGCAGGAAGCAGCCACCCCATCTTCTGTGACCTCCCCAACAGAAGGTCCTGGCAGCGTTCACTCCGACACCTCCAACTGATCCTCCTGGGCCGTGCCCCCTCCCCACTTTCTCACTCCTTCTGGCTCCAGGGAAGAGAAAAATGCCAGTGCTGAACTAGGCTGGGCAGGGAAAGAACTCTTTTCACTGCCAGAGGATTGCTGCATCACGGTGCCGGGGAAGGGAGGGGGAGGGGATCTAGTACAGCACCTCTTGGGATTCAAGGTGGCAGTGCTCCATGGGGAAGACAATTCAAGATGTCCCTGGTGTGATCCAAGCTGGTAATCTTTCCATGATCCTGATCCACACACCTCTTAGTAACCATGCTGCAACTCTAGCAATGAAGGGGACCCAATATGGTGACACAGGTGGGAGGTGGGTGGGGAGGGAGGGAGGGAGGGAGGGGAGGGAACATCCCAAATGGCTTATCTACTTGGAGGGGTTGTGGGGAGTGAGCTAATGTGGCACCCGCAACCTGTATCATCTGCTGGATCAGCCTCTTAGATAACACCTGCCTGGGAGGACCCAAGATGGCATCTTACTGCTGAATGTGGGATGCCATCAAGAAAGCAGCACGAATGGGTTTCTTGGTGGTAGGATGAGCAAAGACGTTTGCCAAGCAAGGCTTAAGTTGGCATCTCTCCATGATGGGATGATTCCAAGATGGCAAATTGTGACATCTTCTTATCAAGATGAAACATGACACATAAAAAAGGAGAAACAATCAGAGACATGGATTCTATCCAGACCCAAGATGGTATCTCCTCCAGTGGTGTGGTAATCAAGGACAACAGCATCCCTTATGGAATCTTTCTACAGAGAATGAACATGCGCATTGGTGCTTTGCTCCAGTCTTGACATGAGATTGTGCGAATTCAAGGTGATAGCCCCTCCCTGGGGTAAACAATCGAATATACCTCTCTATATGAATAGTTTCCCTGGGTATGAAGATCTAAGATGGCTACCATCTGAATCTGAAAGGGGAGGTTTTCTCTGGGTCTTAGTCCTAAAGAGAAGCTGTTGGGGCCCAAGCAGTTGCTAACTGTTGCCCCCTCCATTAGGCAAAGAGACTGGATATAAGATGGTACCTTTATTGAAAAAGAAGGTGAGGAGTCTCCAAGATGATAGTTCAAGGTACTTAGGGGAAGGGAAGCATTAATAAGCACAGGCTTTTGATCTCTTGTGCATAACTGGATGCTTCAGAGTTAAGTTGAGTGGGGCAGCCATAGGTCTAAGGAAGCCCAGCTCACTGTAAATAACACCAGTGACACTATAGCTGCTTTGTGAGTGGTGGGAGCCCATTTTTCTTTTGTCAGTTTTTTGCTTTCTTTCTGTCACTCACTTTGTATTTTAGTTTATCGTGTTCTGAACATTTTTTATTGCCTGACAGTTTCCCTATCAGTTTCCTCTGCTGTTTCTCATTCTGGATAATCACCCCCCACAACTTCTTTTCCCTTCTTTTGCCATATCACTAAGCTAAGGCTTTTCTTCCCAGTCCAGCAAAGTATGATCAGCAAATTTCCTGTACTGCACATTCTCGAAGTGACATTTGTTCAAGCCTTAATCTTGTGCAGAAGAGAGAAGCAACATTTACTATTTCACAAACAGGCTAAACAAAGGAAAATTACAAAATGGTGCAGAAACAGACTGAGCACAGTTGCCATGAATTGGTTCAGACTATCCTATAGGTGCCAGTTCGATAGGAGCAAATGGGCTGTGAGGGCCAAATCACACGTTACTTTAAATGCATTATTGCATTTAAAATTGTGTTTTAAAACAAAAATAGCAGGTATGCAGCCTCAAAGCAGAAACACAGTGGAGGGAGAACTTATCCTCTCTCTATGTCTGAGTGTGGTACTGATGGAAACCATCCCATGTGGAACTGCTATGTGCATTCTCTGGAAAAGCTCATTAATAAATGATTTTGGGAGGGAGGAAATTTTTGTTGGGATTGAAAGGTTGGGAAAGAAAGGTTAAACTCATTCTGCCTGCCTCAATTCTGATTTTCCCCCCTGCCTGCTATTTTTGTTTTTGCATCATATTAAATCACTAATACACTACATGCAGTTTTAAACTGTTTCTCGGGGACCTGTGAGGTTCCTTGGATAATTCTGCTGTATTATCAGTATTGATAGACAAATAGCCTTGAAAGACAGTTTGCCAAAGAGGGCCCAACCTCCTTGCAAAATGTCGTCACGAGAGTAACAAGGTGTGCATGTTCACAGAACAGGAAATAATGTACATGGACTGTAGAGTTCTGGAGTGGCTTGTTAACCACAGCAATGAGCTACCCTTGATGGGTGTGCATAACGGCAAGCACATGCCAACGAGGTAATTATGCAGATCCCCTGGCATGCAACTGGCATATGCAGTGCAGTCATGTGACAATGCCTAGTGTGTGGTGATAGCAGGGGTGATTTAGGGCACACCAGCTGTTTCTACAGCATGAGGAGGAAGTTTCATAGGTGAGGTTAGTGCCCAGTGTGAACTGAGTGGATGTTGTAGAACACTTGCCAGAATCCTCTGCAAGGTGTAGGAGCCCTGGGACAGATGTGAAAGGGTTCCCTGAAGATAAAAAGCATGGTCACCACTACAGTGTCTGATGGTGAAATTGCATTTCTCCAAGAACAGCATATTGTTTGAATGTTCTGAGTGATCCCTTTGCAACAGAAATACAGCCATGAGAGAAAGCCCATGGGCAAGGTACAAAATTAGTTGCAAACGTTATATACTGTACAAAGGGGTGGGGGAGCCCAAACCCTGGTTGTGCAGAAGAGCTCTTAGGGGGCCCATTCTAATTTGTGCTCATTTTTAATTTTTCTTTTAATTCGGTAAGGGGACCATCTTGGAGAAAGGGTTTTGAACAAACTAGAAATGTTCCTTATCATAGCTCCATTTTCAGTGTTTTTCTTCTCTTCCCCCACCTTTGCCCCTATGATTCCCAGCACAAAGGGGACATAATTTCTTATAGGGAAGCAAATCACATGGCTCGATCCCAGTAGAGCTTAGCTGAGATATTCCCCACTAGGATGGAGAAATAGTATGATTGTGTAAATATTCTGATGCAGAGAGTGAATGACCTGAATGAGAGACAGAAGTAAGCAAAGAGATGAAAAAATCTAGTTGGTTAAAAAAAACAAAAACAATGATAATGGATCCTAATGCAGAAGGAACAGATGGTGAGAGATATGAACTGGAGGACTCTATCAAGGATAGATAATTGAAAGTAATGAGAACTGAGGAATAAAATATGGGTGGAAGCAAAGATGATGGAAAAATAAACCATCTAAAAACAGATGAAAGGTCATTATTAACTAAAGACTAAGTAAACCTGAGGGCAGGAATATTAACTAGAAGAGTAAAAACTGATGAGTTTAGGGGCTGGAAAGGGGGAAATTAGAACAGTAGTGCAAAGGAATATAGAGAGTGTAGAAAAGATCCAATAGAAATAACTGATGGAAAAACAAAATTAATAGCACCTCTTCACAAGAGGAAAAGAATATTTGATTTGAAGAAAGCTGTTGGTAGGCATGAGAAGATACCAGAATAAGATTCAAAGGAGGAATGTGGATAAAGGCAATTGATCATGAGGGGAAAAAAAGGAAAATGGTTTGAAGGAATGGAGAAAAGGCCTGATTGTGAAAGGTGCCAACACCGAAGGGATTCACACCAAGCGTGAATGTCCAAGTCTGACGTGCACAAGAGTTCTGATGGTGTAAGAGATCTACTAGGAGCGGCACAAACCCACAAAACGTCCGGCGGGCTCTCCCCCTTGCTCACAGGAGGGCTCCATGCTAGTCAGTCCAATAGCTTTATTACCTCATGGCGTGAGAAACCAATAGAGACTTGGGACAGAGACCTTTTGAACCTGCTACCTCTGTGTGCCCTGGGGGGAGACTGTGCTGCGAGACCCCCCAAACTGCCCCATTCCCCTTCACAGAGGGAGGTGGGGCTCATTGCGTGACTGACCATTTGACTTGTTCTGGGGTTTTGTTTTTTTGGCTCTAGATTTCCTTTGCTTTTATTATCACGGTTCTTCTATAAAACTGAGGACATGTTTTGCCCTGGAATTCATTTGGGAAAGGAAGAAAGTAAGTGGGAAGAAAAGTCTGCCTCTCTTAACTGTTGCTGCATATTTATACAATTCATGTCTACAAAAAGACTTAACCACACTATGTGTTACTCGGTTGTGTGGAAGATCTCTCAGACTTGATAAATACAATCAGTTTGTAGTATGGGGAGAAAGAACAGAAACTGTATGGAAGTAGCCCTACAATGGCAAAACATTTGTGTGATGCAGCTGTGTGTGTGTGTGTGGGGGGGGGGGGGTCAATCTGTTTTCATCATGCCAGTAATAAACTGGGGTAGGAGAAGTATTCTATGTGGTGAAAATACCAAAGCATGTAAGAAACTGCTTCACACAACTTGCCATAGGAAACTCCTTCTGTACCACTTTTTCAAGAAGCTCCCATTTGTAAATTGCAGCTGAATGCTTGTCCTCAGATGCTGAGGGAAGCCATTTTGTTTGTTAGGCCGGAGAAAGGGTTGCCATTTTACCAAATTATGACAGATGTGCCTTTTTCGGGACAGAATCCAGGCCCTATTCCTTAAGGTTTTAATGTTATTTTTACGTGGTAACCCTAGAACAATTTTCAGTTTAGTACCACTGTAAAGGAGGACAAAGTTGACACAGTTTCCTCAAACACATTCAAACTGTGTCTGCTTGAGCAAACCAAATAGGACAAAACTAGATGTGCTGTGGGAGGTTTGTTATCCACATCTCACAAGTTTGGTTTTTTAAAAGGCTGAGGTGGGTGGTTTTTAACAATTCCAATGTACTCTTCCTGATTAAAATAACTCCTCCCCCATTGAATATATATTTTGCCTATTGAAGGCAGAAGAAGAAAAGGAAGACCAAACGAGATGGATTGACTCCATAAAGGAAGGTGCAGCCTTGAATTTCCAAGAACTGAGCAGCATGGATAGGACATTTTGGGAGGGCTTCCACTCAGGGTTGCCATAAGTTGGAGATGATGGCAGATAACAACCTATTTTACCCAGTGAGGTAAATAGGAAGGTGATGGGGAACATTTTAATTGGGAAACCAGTGCAGAAAGAAGGCATTATTTCTGTCGCAGATACACACTAATGCAGTGCTGTCATTTGGATTGATTTGCACCCTTCCTGTGTGGCTGTTAACTTTAAAATAAAACTGCAGGAAAGTCCAGGTGGTGGATCTCCTGCATTGTATGTACGTTGGTCATGAAATAAGGAAGGCCTTGAATTGTACAATTCTGAGCATGATGGCTGAACCAGATACCCAGTTGTGTGTGTGGTGTGGGGAAGTTTTCCCCCTACCAGGCATTTATTCAAGGGGTCCAGAGCTGTTAGTTTTCCAGAAACATTCCTGAACCTTTAATACAGGGGCAGGTGACCGGTGGTCCTCTAGATCCTTAGGCAAGAACGAGAAACGCCACACCTGTTGAAGTCTATACTTCTGTGTCACACAATCACTTCAATATTAAAAGTATAAAAGTACTGCTCTCTGGTCAAGTTATTGCAGGGTGGGCAATTTGTGAGTTGCCAAATGTTTTGACTCACAACCTCCATGATCCCTCATTGCTGGCTGAAGGGAGTTGTGGGCCAAAAGCAAGTTATTTACTCCTGCTGTAGCATGTAAGTGCCTCATCCTATGGACAATATATTGGGAAGACCATGCAGGTCTAGGGGCTAACAGCTTTAATGGGCACAGCTGTGTGGCTTATGTGTTGAATTTGGTGAAATTTAGTGTTTATTGGTCTTTTTGTAGCTTGGTGGTACCGGTTTAGTAACTCTTACATAGTACCAAATACCTGACAAAATATACAGTGGTTGGCACCTCTACCTAATTCACATATCATTTGTGACAGAGATTTTTGGACTGAGGCGCTCTGTGCCAAATTAAAATCACAGGTTGTTTTCTTTAACATTATGCTCCTACGGTAGAAATCACCCTGTTGACTTCTTGCCTTTTGTGTAACTGTTAAAAACAAAGATGCTCTGATCTAAAACAATTTAAACCATGGCATGCTTGGTGCTGCATGGGAATTGGTAAAGAAAGCTCTGGTTTTCTGACAACAAAAAGGCTTTAACATTGGAAGAATTAGGTTTTAGGGTGCTTTCAGGCAGGCAGCTCTTAGAACTAGCCGTCAGAAGACATTGTACAGCTGTTTTAGTGAATTTTCTGCATCCAAAGGGAGCAGTGAAGAAATGAAAGGGTTATGCACGTAAGATTTAACATGTAGACACCTCCATTCCCTTAAACCTCAGTGAATGAGACATGGCAATGGTGCAGTAAAAGCCTAAACTGGAAGCATCCTTGGCTTTAGATAAGAATGAAGCCGTTTGACTGGAGTCACACTAAAATGTGCAGGCCTGTTGCAAGAGTTGTGGAAACTGATAGCAGGCCTGCCAGCAGCAGCCATACAAAGTTCGGCCCCTCTCCTGTTGGTGCCTTGATGCCTTTGCAGGTGCCACTGATCTGAAGTCAAAACAGTCTGGACAGGGTCAATTCAGGGCCCTGTGAAAGCAGTCCATGATCCACATGGAAGTACATGCAAGCTAGAAAACACCAGATGCATTTAAGATATGTGTAAAAAGGCTATTAGAGGAAAAAATAATGGGGTTAGGAGAGATTTTGCAGGATTCTGGATTGCTTTAAAATCAGTCACTTGGGGGCACTACAAGAAAATCCTTAAGTTGCTGGAAAAGCTTGCTTATTTTGGGAGCAAATGAATGTGGGAGTCTGTTACACCCACTCTCACAGAACTACAAGTGTGTGTGTGGGAGCGGAATGGCACCCTCACAGCTGAATTCCAGGGCACCCAGAGGGTTTATGGGGCAGATAAAAATTTTGGGGCCTTACCACAGCTGTCTACAAGGACAAAGGGGTGATAATACATACAGGTGTTGAGGTAGGGTTTCCCCGTGCTTTCTGGGGCAAGTTGCCCCATCTGTGGGGAGCAATGTTGAATCCTATTGATGCTTACTGATAAACAAATCTCATTTATTTTAATAGCTGTTACTCTCAAATAAGTTTTATAGGACTATAGCCTTTGGATACTTTGTTGGTGGGGGAGTTAGAGTTCAATGGAGGCATACTTCTGAAAAAGGGGGTGGGGTAGTAAACCAAGAGGAAGTTTCAGGGTATGTATTAAATTTTCATCTTAATTGACATTTACTCTAATACTGTGCATACAAGGAGGATGGATAATTTGGTTAAGAAGTGGTTCCATTCTTTTCAATTAGCATTTATAGACAAAGTGGGTATTTTAACTCTTGCATGTACAGCATCAGAAGTTGGCAGCGAGTAATCCCTAATTAAATCTAATTAAAAACAAATTATTCTGTGTATGCACCAGAGGGTTATTAGATCCCATGATAAGTATAGCACCTTTTAACTCTTCTATATAAGGGGTTTAAATTTCAGTTATTTTTTCTTCAGGAACAGCTGATGGAGTTTCAAAGGGCCAAGGGGTCACAACACAATCCTATACATGTCTACACAGAAGTAAGTCCCACTGAGTTTAATGGGGCTTACTCCTAGGTAAGTAAGTATAGAATTGCAGCCATACAAGTTACACACCTACCTGCAATCTCTCTATTCCTTACACTTAAAAGTAGCAAAATGGTTTATTTACTTATTTTGAAGCTAGAACACAGCTTTTTTTAGTTGCTTGCAAGCTGGTGGTTTTAAACACCTTCATGATCTGCATGTGCCCCAACTCCTCTTTGTTTTTAAGTCACCCCTCCCAGATTTGACAACACTTAACCCTTTATCCACCTCACCTAGGTACTCAGCTATACAAAGCTCTCTTTACTGTTGAACACCTTTCTAGTATCCAAAGATCAAAGCAGCCTGGGTCAAGTAGCCTTCTAAGTAACACCAGGGATGCTTCCAGGTGTTAAGCTCCTAGTGTCACCAATCAGAAGGCATGGTGCATGATTCCAGCTTTCTCTCCTTAGCAGATTGTGTTAAGAATTACGGAAAAGTGGTGGGAAAAATAGGTTACTTGTGGAAGAGGACTCCTTAAGACAAAGTTGGATCAGTGTCCTTTCTGGCTGGACAAAGGAGCTTAACTGGGAGGGGTGGCATGGCTGCCTCTTCTCTGGCAGTGTTTTTCTCATGCCTGGAAATGGCATTGATGCAGGAAAAGGTTTCATTGGTTGAATTTTTGTTATTAGAGGCCCAGTCACCACCCCCAAAGTAGGCTTCTGTGATGTGGGGAAGGGGCGTGATCTCACAGTTGTGAATTAAAGTAAGTCAATCCTCACATTAACTGGAAAACTTTGGTGGTAGGAGGTCTGAATGGTAGGTTCACAGAGGGAAGGATTAGAATTCAAATCTCAAAGAGTTTTTTTCAAATCTCTGGGGATGCCCCCTTCCCTACCCCTTCCCTCATTTTCTTGTACAGTTTTGCCTAAACAATAAAATATATTTTTTCCACTGGTGGTTTTCCATTATTTCTTTGCAGAAGTATTTAAATTCTCATCAGTTTCCCAAGTAAAACTTGAGTCATGGGAAGATGTGTACCCAGTATGAATCTTTAACTGATTAATAGAAGAGGAACCAGAGTTTTTAGAAAAAGTGCAGCTACTACAAGGAGAAATGGACCCCTGTGGAGTCTCCACTGTATACATATTGGGGCTGCTGTTATTTAGCATAGTCATAAATAATCTAGAATACTGTTCCCCAACTTGTTGCTCTCCAGATGTTGACTCTAATACTCATCATCCCCAGCCAGCTGGGTTAAAGGCTTTCATGCAGAAAAGCTCTCTAAGTGATTTTGAACCATGGTAATTAAATGCTGTGTTCAAAGGCAGTCTGTTACTTAATATCAGTTGCAGGGGAGCAATAGTGGGTGAGTTAATTTAGCCTTGCCCTAGTTATGGAGATCCCATAGGCAATTTACTGGCCATTATAAGAAACAGGATGCTGGCCTAGATAGGCCTTTGAATGATACATCAGAGCTCTCCTGTTCTAAATATTTCCTTAAGGTAACCCTAGCCAACAATGAGCTTCAGAGTTCTTTTCCTGTCATGGAGCTTGGATCATTTGCTAGATCTCTTGTTCTGCTATTTACATTGGTATAGGTTTAATGCCCAGTATGTGGTCTAGATTACACAGAGATATGAAATCTTAACCTGAAGATCACAAGACAGTCTTTTCTCAGTCTATCCACAATAAAAAGCGTTCTTCAACTGGGTCTCCTCCAGATGTTTTGGACTAACTCCTATTGGCCCCAGTTAACATGGCCAGAGATCATAGGAATTGTAGTTCAAAGCATGTGAAGGAGACTAGCTTGGAGAAAGCCATTATGAAGCACCATGGAGAGTGATAGGGTTACCTGCCTATAGCTTACAGAGATAGTAGGAAAGTCAGGGCAGCCTCCAATACAGATTGGTTAACTGCTCTTGTAAGGACCAAGAAATGTGAGCTTAAGTGGACTCCAGGGGATGGTGGAGGACAGGAAGGCCTGGAGGAATGTTGTCCATGGGGTCGCGATGGGCTGGACACAGCTTCGCAACTAATAACAACAAAGGGCAGAAAAGGAGAATAGATGCCTATCCAAGAACCCTAAAGGAAGAAGGAGCTTAAGAGAAAACAGGAACTGCTGTGGTGAAGTTTCCTATAGCTACAGAGAGAGGTTTGGGAATGCATGTGTTACAGCACTTGATGCAATACAAGAAGATTGGAGAAGGATGGATTTCAAGAAATCAAGCAGTAGGCATTTATCTGCTATGGACAGGACTCTGCCCTTCCACATGAGTTGGCAAAATAAATTGCACAAATTATATATAAACACACACACATTTATACACCTGCTCATTTTTCTTATTGCCTAGCAAAGAGACTCAATTCCTGCAACTGGATATGAATCATAGGTTAATTTAATTACAGCATTGGTTAATTTACATTTCTCTCCTCTGGTCACATGTTCACAGAGACTTTTGGGCCATCAAATACTGTTCAAGAATAACTCCTCAGCCAACTGCAACCTAAATAGGAGCATCCCTTTTCCAGCCCTAATCCATTTCTAGCATCCTCAGCAGACTGGGAGGCATGGAAGAGAAAAATACAACCAGTTGACCTGCAATTCCCATCTCTACCGTTTACTTATTTCCCCTTTCAAAAGAGTGACAAAGGGCAAATACCCTTCCCACAAAACAAGATGGGGAACCTTGTGGCCACTTACAAGTCTCATATTAAGACATCGGAAGCCCATCCCACTTCTTGGAGTTGTCCATGGGAATGGGTTGTGGGGCCAAATAACCCACTGAAGCTGAGGACATGTTCCTCCAATGCTCCTTGCCCTCTACTGTTTGTACACCTCAGATTTTGATGAACGCTTCACATGCCGTTCTTACCTTTGCTGCCTCCTCCCATACTATGGCAGATGGTGTGGGTGAGCTGCATTCCTTTCCCCTCCTGCCTCTTCCCTGCAAGTGGGGGAAAGGAGACCCTCCCAGCCCCTCCTCCTGAATTCCCTTCCCCTTACATGTGATAGATGCAGTGATAAATCACAGGGTAGAGCCACGGCCTGCCTCTCTCCATTTTTGTATGATGCCTAGTAGGTGGATAATTGCAACATAAGACACTGGAGATGCAGCTGTGACAAAACAGAAGAGAACTGGAGAGGAGAGTGCACAAGATCAGCCTCATTGCTGGAAGTGACAGGAAACCACACACTTCCTCCTGCATCCTCCTCCCCTTTACTCCACAGATGTACATAAAGGTGGTACACAAGTGGAACAGCCTTGATGGATCAGTAGAAAGCCCTCCAACAGCTAAATGTAGTTCTCAGGCTGATTGCTACCCTCTTCTAACAGGCAACAGGCTTCCGACGCAAATCCCACTCCAAGCTCTGGAAATTTTAAATTGAGGAGGGAGATGGAAACAACTCCGCCATAGGATATTTGACTCCTCTCCCACTCAATACATGCGATTACATGAGGAGATACGCATGTGCCCCATTTTGCATGACCACCCAAGAAGTAGCTCTGTTATAGTTTAATTCTGTGGTGGGATTAAGGAAAAGGTTGAAGAAGACTTTCCATGTCTGAGTAATATCCTGCATCTGCAGTTTTAAATGACCCCCATCTTGTCCAGTTTGTGCAGCCAGCAAGCAATGTCACCCTCCACCCCAAAACTGCCCTTCCCCCTAATATATCACAGCCCTTCTATTCAGTTCCAATAGTCTTTAGTATATGGCTAGTCCTGTGGGGTCCAGCCAGTCAGACACTGAGCAGCCAAAAGAAAAAGAAGATTGCAATGAAGAGAAATAGTGAATCCTGCCAGCTTGACGGCCGAGCGGCATCTGCATCTATGCAAAATAGAGACAGAGAAACATTCAAAATTAGAAGAAAGTAATGGAGCCCTTCCAGGTCAACATTAATGAAATGCTACCCATTGCCTGCCATTCATCTGGTCACCTGTGTCCAGTGTGCATAATCTCTAGGTGACCTTAGAGGGAAGCTTTCCCCAGCAGGATCTTAGGCAGTGGGAGCTGTACTCTCCAGGATGAGTGTAGTTCTTGCCTCCCCTTCTCTTTGTGCACTTGCATCCTGACACATACCTGCCTGGTACCTTAACTTGCCCAATTCCACCATGTCTGCTGCTCCTCAGAAGGTTCCATCCTTTCTCCCTTTTTGACCCTCATACTAAATCTGTCCCTTTGAAGTCTCTATGGTGTAACCTCTCAGCCAGCAGGACAATTCAACACACCAAGAGGGCTTCAGGTTGGAAAAGGCTGTTGAAAAACTTTATGTAGGACTTACATTTCTAAATTGCTCCTCCCTCAACCGCCTCATGTCCAGCATGTGAACTTCCCAGTAGTATCCTGCTGGCCACTGGTTGAAACAGCATGCCAGACTATGTAGACCTCTGTTTGTTAAATTTATATCATGCTTTTTTTTTCTTAATCAAGGCAACTTATATCATTCTCCTGTTGCTCTCAATCTTATCCCCACAACAACAACCCTGTGAAGTAGGTTGGACTGAGACTCTTTGGCCCAAAGTCACCCAGTTGGCCCCATGGATGAGTGGGGACTAGAACAAAGATCACATGAGTCCCAGTCCCATGCTCTTAATCACTATACCACTATACCATTACATTTTACATGTTTGCATAAACGGATATTGTTATATAAATGATTATACAGAACAACTCCCAGCAAGGGTAAAAATAGCATGTCAGTGACAAGGCCTGCTTTCCAGCATTAGTGAGTTTGAATGATCCTTTTGTCTTGTTTTGTTTGTTTAAATACAGTGGTACCTTGGCTCACAAACTTAATCCGTTCCAGGACTCTGGTTGTGACCCAAATTGAGCCAAGTTAAATTTCCCCAAAAGGTTAGTCCGTTCTGTAACTATTTTTTTAATCAGAAAAATGTGAAGCAAAGTGACAAAGAACAACAAAGATCGTGGCCATCTCCCCCCACCACCCCGAGCACGAGCGCAGCCATCCCCACCCTCCCCAGCACGATCACGGGCGCCACCCAATGCAGAGTTCTCAACCTGAGTCAAACATTTTATGACATTTTAGTTCATGACCCGATTTGGTCGCAAACTGAGGCGTTTGTGAGCTGAGGTACCACTGTATTCCCTGAAACTAGAAACCCAGCAAAGCAGGCGAAGAGCCTCGAATAGAAACTGCAGATTTTCTACTTGCATAGAGTTCTTTGTTTTGGAGTGGTATGGTTAATTCTGCCATCTCAGGGCTCTGGTGCCTCCTTCTGCTCATGTCAAAACCTGGGCCTGATTCTTACAGGAGTATGGACTTTCCTATTGATGTGTGTGCCATGTCATGCCAAAGAGCCCTGACCACAGGCAAACTAGCCCATTTGTGTGTTAATGTCAGCAGTGCACCTGCTTTAGTCATTCAGCACGGCTGCATTAACAAGCAAAAGGACTCGTGCATGTGGCACGGATACTTAAACATGACCAATAGCACACAGAAAGCACAGATGATGATGAGCTTTCCCAGCGGCCCATGTCATTAGGCTGCGATCAGCTACTGAGGCATCATGGAATATTTATGAACATTCCCATCACTCCAATATTTAAATGTATGCTGTCAGCATGAAAGACTAAAGCAAAGACTAAAGTAGTAGCAGCAGCAAATTAAAATATGTCCTATACAAGCCCAGCCATAAACAATGCACTCAATCTTGAGTGGGTTAGCACAGATATGACACCATGCCAAGAAAGGAAAACCAACATTGGAACTTTGTCAAAGAGGGGTAAGTACGGCTGAACCCCAGAAAAGGGTTGCATCTGAACGCAGAGGTGAATCCCAAGGTTGCTGGAGAGGATGAAGAGCACAGGTGCCTAGCAGAACAGCCCTTAAGGCAGGGGTGATGAGCTTCTTTCCGCCTAAGATCCAAATTTGACTTTGGATATGCTCTCAGGGGACACATTCTAGGGATTGTCATGACGGAAGGAAAATAGAAGAGGCCAAGAATACCAGCATATTTTAGGCTAAATCTCTTACTGCCAGGTAACAAAACCCTTGGAGAGGGATTGCAACCTTTTAACATGGTAAAAATACTGCACAAAAGCCAGGAAACCACAAAATGATAAGTGCTTGGGAGGAAAGGGGTGTTTGGACTGGAATTTAGGTGAGTAGAAGTTGGACCAGGGGCCCTAGGATCCTGCATCCCTGTCCTCAAGGGCCAATTTACATTTCAAGCTTAAAAGAGCCAAAAGTAATGCATTACCTGCTCTTTCTCCTGGGGCACTGTAGCCTGTGGCGAAAAACCCAAAGGGGAAAGCACCAATGCCGAATGCCATGTGAAAACCTGTGGCTGCATCAGGGAAGCCACCCATGCCCTGCATGACAGCAGGGAGAGAAGAGAGAAAAGTGGGTTATTTGTTTATTGTTGTTACACAGTATTTACATCCTACCTTTCTTCCTCTTGGAAGGAAGCCAAGGAAGGTTATAAGGTTCTCCTCTGCATTTTATCCTCACAACAATGACCCTCTCAGTTAGATTGTTGAGAGTCTGTGACTGGCTCAAAGTCACCCAGTGAGTTTCAGGTTTGATCAGGGACTAGAACCTGCATCTCGATTGTTCTAGTCCAACACTCTAAGCACTTCACCATGCTGGATCTCCAGACAAATAGTAAACATTGATTGTTTAATATTATGATACACCACCCTACAAACCAAAGGTTCCCAGGATGGCCCATGCAATGAACCAGTAAGTTCAATAATTAACACTAAAGGAAAGGTGCAAAAAATGGAGCTGATCTGGGAAAGGATTTTCTTACCCCTCGAGATTCTGGCTCTGGGCGCTGCCCTCGTGGTCGAGGGGGTGTCTTCAACCTGTTAGATGGAGGAAAAAAATATCTATCTCATTAATATGTCAACAGAATGGTCCAATGACCCCTAGGCATCATCTGGAGGCCACAGAATGCTTTGGATTCCCTAAATGTGAGGTTGGAACGAGGCTCCTGCCTTGGAGCTGGGAATTCATTCTCCAATCCGCTTCCTCCACAGCATGGAAAGAACCATGCAGGGTGTTCCTCTGAGGTCAGGAGCATAATGCTGTTTAGAAGCAAGCAATGAAGTGGACAGTTTTGCTGATGGCACCAGACTACTTAGAGAGGAGCGCCAAAGGGACATCTCCAAGCTGAGAGAATAGGAATCAAAATGGAAAATGCAATTCACTGTGAGCAAGCATAAAAGTAATGCATGTTGGGGCAAGCTTCAAGTGTAAGTTGATGGAATCTGGGCTAGCAGTAACGTAGCAAAAGGGATCTTGGGATAGCGGTGAACGGCTCAATGAAAATGTCATCCCAGTATTGCAGCTGCTGTGAAAAAAGGCAAACTCCACGTTAGGCATAATTAGGAGCAGGGTAGAAAATAAAGCTGCCAAGCTCTTATTACCCTTATACAACTCTTTGGTATGACCACACCTGAATTGTGTGTTCAGTTCTGGCCACCCTACCTGAAAAAGGATATTACAGAGTTGGGAAAAGTGCAGAGAAGGGCAGCTAAAATTATCAAGGGGCTGGGGCAACTCCTTTATGAGAAACAGCTACAACTGGGACTGTTAGCTTGGCAGGGGGGCGGGGAAGTAATCAGAGATACTATAGAAAAGTTTAAAGTACTGCATGGTGTCAAGAAAATGGGGAGAAACACATTTTTCCCCTTGCCATAACACTCAAACCTGGGGTCATCCCATGAAGCTGACTACTGGGAGATTTAGGATAGATAAAAGGAAGTACTTCTTCACACAGTGTATAGTAAAACTATGGAATTCACTGCCGTGGGAAGTGGTGATGGTCACCAGTTTGGACTGGTTTAAAAGGGGCTTGGGCAGATTTCATGGAGGAGGGTGCCTACAAGCCTTACTGACTGTGTGCTACCTTGAGTCACTGGGGAGCTTGGGCAGGCAGAGGTCTTGCACCCATTCCGCCTGAGGGACCTTGTGGACGGCTGTGTGCATTGAGTGCTGGACTAGATGGACCGTGATCCAGCAGGACTCTTCTTATCTACTTCAGCATAGAGAGGGAGTAAAAGAGGCATTCCAGTGGGCAGGGAAGAGAGCAGGCCAGCACTGCTCCTTTGCAGTGCCTAATCTTCCCTATCACGGAAGGGAAAGGGAACAGTAAGGCACACAATGATTGCAAGGCCTTCTTTTTAATTTATCAATGCCATTTTATATGTGAGGAGGTTTATAGAGAAGATGCCCCTTTCCAGAGGGTTTCCATTCCCAGCCCTAAGGGGTGCCAGAGGAAGAGCAAGGGAAGAAGCAGCAGGAATAAACAGGAAAGAACATGCATTTATTCTGATTCTGCACTACCCCAAAACCATACAACTAAGATAAAGATAATACCATGTAAATTTACTTGTATTACATAAACCAGCCATGTTGAAGCTTTTGCAGCCTGTTCCATTTCTCAGGGACTTGCATTCAAAAGCTGGCGGGGCGGCGGGGGCGGGGGGGGGGGCACACAGAGGGGAAGCATACCGGCATATTTTACCTGAAACCCCTTACGCCCATTAACAATCCCTAAAGAATGGATTTTAAATTTTTAAGAAAGTGGGGGGGGGGGGCATTCACAAAAGGCAGAAAACCACCAAATAATGATCTGTGGTCAAAGAATGGGGCATGGCCACCTGGGAATCTGGATTTGGCCCATGGGTCAAGATTCAACAAGCCCGACACAGCGGATGCAGCACGAACTATTTCTTCCTGTTGGTTCTCCTGGCAAGGAGCTTCCTGGTGCCCCAAGGCCCTGAGCGCTGGAATTCTTATCCAGCAAACCCTCTTAGCATCTCAGATTTCAACAGGCACCAGCGTTGTGCAGATTTTCAAGCACTCTTCCATAGCCATATGGGCTACATAAACATGAAAAGAAAAGAGAAGGCTGACATTCTGAGGAAGTCACCTTTTACACAATGGCATTTGGCTCAATCTCGGTACATTAAACAAATGAAGCACACTTTCAGGTTGCCTTGCCTGATCTCTTCAGCTGCTGCTGCTGCTGCTAGACAAAGTGATAGGGAGGCACAAGCCTGTGCAGTTTGCTTTCTCCCAGCTTTGCTTTTTACATGGCTCTTTGCATCCTGAATATGAAGACATTTCTGGATTTTGATGGATACCTATCAACACAGAACTGAAATGAAAAAATGCACACCCCTCCCTAGGAAAAGAGAAGTGGGGTGTGCCCCAACAGGGGGCAGCCTGCCTGTCCTGTGACTGCCGGTTCCACTGGGGGGGCGCTAGTGCTTGCGCACCCTGCACATGCTGCTTGTGGACAGATCCCTGCCCAGAGCAGCCTCCAGTCTGTAGCAATCTTCCTGAAGTTCATGCCTCCAGCTGTTTGGGAGCATACACCCATCAACCCTCACTACTGGCCAAGCTGGCTGGGGCTGATGGGAGCTACGGTCCTAATCTGGAGGCATGTGCATTGTTAGACCTGGGCCTGTGGGGCCTCAACCTCAACTCTGTTTCCCAGGAACCTGGATCTACACCACAGAGCCAACTGGCGCCAGTGGAAGGGCTTTGCCTCAGTTGCCATGGGGGGGGGGGGGTCCATTTTGAAGTGTTGCAGCTGGGGAGGGAACGGTTAATACTTTCCTTCCACTTGCTACAGCCACCCCGCACAACTTCCCTTGAATGGCAAGTATGAGGAGCAGAAAATGTTTAGAAGGATTTGAATCAGGATGCAAATTAACTGATTTTATTTTATTTGAGATGATTTGGATTACATGTTGGCTTGCTTTGCCTCCTGTGAAATAAATCCTGGTAATTGTTTCTAAATTTGCATATAAAGATATACATCAGCAGAGGCAGATCTTACACACATTTGTATTCTGTGGGCTGAGCTCAGATTCTTTTAAGTATTGCCCTTGTCTGGGGGGTTCCATTATTAGTGAAGGCTGGCCTATAGTTCATTTCAATTATATATGCAAGATATCACTAGGGACAATACTATTTTATTTCTCTACCTCTTAATACCCACATTTATCTAGGCAGTGTACAAGGAATGATAAAATACAATATAAAATACCAAAAACAGTAAAAATAGAATAGAATTTCACTAAAGATTTTAAACCAGATTCTACCAACAAGCAAACTTTGACATCTTTATTTCACATTTCTTTCCCCACAAGAACACCCACTCCCTTGCCAGGTGAACTACCTATTATTTTTCATTTTCACACCACTTTATTTGATTTGTAAAATGCTTTTAAGTCTTTGCCTTATTCATCTTCAAAGAACTCAGAATGGGGGCACACCAGTTTCAACAAGCCTCATTACATTAAGTGTAATGCTGGTTAAAACAGAACCATTCCCTTTACTGAGGAGATAATCTGCTCCTCAGAATTTCTCAAGAAATGCTTCTGACTGGAGATATCCAGTCTGCTCATCAACAAAATCTCCTTTCATCATCATCACTAACCCACCTTGATGGGCATTTTCCCCTGGGCATCCAAGTCAAACATCCTTCTAGTTGGCAACAGGGGTGCTCATTTAAACACAGGAAGGTTCCATTCAAAAGTAAACAAAGTGTAGGGTTGTGTCATCTGGCTCCCCACTGCAGCCACAGTCACGGGGTCGGCTAATTAATTGAAGGTTTGCATGCTGTGACTGGGAACCTGGGTTCTAATACCCACTCAGCCATTACATCACTGGGTGGCTTTGGGCCAGACATTCAGCCGCAGCCTAACCTACCTCACAAGGATGTTGCTAGAATAAAATGGAGCTAAGCAAGCTGCCTTGTGTTCTTCACAAAGGAGAAAAATGCAAGCTGTAAATGCAATGTAATCACAACAGCTTGGATTCTGGGAATTTATTTGTAGGTCAAATAGAACAAAAGTCATTTGGGCTGTTTACAGGCACACCCAAAGTGCATGGGTTCGCATGTCATGCAACAACCACTTGCATAAACAATATCTGATCAGGGGTTGTTGCATGACAACAACATACTATCTGTGTGTCCTATTTTTACACTGAATAGAAGAAGCTGCCTTTATTGAAGTCATACCAAGGCTCCAGTACTGTCAACACTGATAGCCAGTGGCTTTCCAGGTCTCAGGCAGGATTCTAAAGGAAGCACCATTGCCTATATGTTTTGCATTTTGTTTATCTCTGACTTCCCTGACTTACAATTCTCTCTATAAGGGTGTTCAGATGCACTTCATGCATCTGATGATACATACTCTGGTCCCTGAAAAGTTATGCTGCAATGAATCGGTAAGTCTTTAACATAGCACAAGGCCAGTTATTGTTTCAGTTTGTTGTTTCTGCTGCAATTCAGACACCTCCTCCCAACAGCCTGACCATCTGGCTGGCCGGAACAGTGGCAGATACTATCTAATGATATCTGGAGAGTCAAGGTTGGATGAGACTGGATTAAGTGCTGCACATAAAGCCAGTGCAAGACAATTGTTAGTGTTGGGCTGGGACTTGAGAGACCCAGGTTCTAATCCCACTCTGCCATGAAGCCCACTGATTGATTTTAGGCTAGTCACTGACTCTTAGTCTAACCTACCTCACAGGGCTGTTATGAGGATAAAATGGTAAAGAGGATTATGTAAGCCACCTTGTGTTCCATGCAAGGTAAAGGCAGGATATAATTCTAATCCATAAATAATATGCAAAATAAGCCCAGAAGCCCTTCTTGCAACAGCAGTGAAGGGAGAAAGCAGCTTTTTAGAAATGAGTGGTAGCATACAACCCTTCAAACCTTTTTATTTAAATGGTATTTTAAAAATTAGTATTTTAAAGGTTTTTAACAGTCGCTTTTGATTTGTTTGATTTGATTTATTTTTATTGATTATTGTACTATGTATTGTTTATTGATTGTTTTATTGAGATTTGTATTACCTTATTGTTATTTATATTGATGTTTTTGCAAGCCATCCTGAGGCTGCGGCAAAGGGCAGCATATAAATGTTTTCATAAAAATAAAAGCCAGTTAAGAACCACTGCCCTGTCCCAGCTCCACAAAGAGCGAACACAAGTTCATGTTCAGTTATCCCAGAAGCTCTCACAAATATTTTCCTGCTCCAAACTTGCGGAATTATTTTCTACCCCAGGTTGCTCCTAAAGGGAAGAAATAAACTGAATGTTTTGAGTCTATTTCCAATCCAGCCCCTTCTCCGATATAGCCTCCTATAGTTACAGCTGTCAGACATGTGCAGCATATGATGTAGCTTCAACTACATAGAGGTATGTGAGGGGATGTCACACGGAGGTGGGTAGAGACCTGTTCTCCCCTGCAGAGGAAGGCAGGACGCGCTCCAACGGAGCAAAGCTCAGGGAACCAAGGCTCAATTTAGATGCCAGGAAGCACTTCCTGACAGTCAGGACCCCGAGGGTGTGGAATGGGCTTCCACGAGAGGTGGTTGAGGCCCCGTCGGTGCGGGTGTTCAAGGATAGGCTGGATATGCACATGGTGGGCATGTCGTGAGCGGAGCCGGCTGGTGCCGGAGGTCAGACTACATGGCCCGGGAGACCCCTTCTGACTTGCTCAGTTTCTATGTTTCTAACTACATCTGGATCAACTTCCTCATGTTAAAAGGATAGGGAATCCATGTTTAAAAATCATAAGAAAATATTTCTGTGGCAGACAAAGACAGATAAGCTAAGATTTTTGGCCTTTGATCAACTGGTGGGGGGCAGTGAGTGTTAATTCTTTATTCTATAAGTTAAATATGATTAGTCAACTGCATCTGAATGGAAATACTTGCAATTTCAGTATTTGTTCATGTCTATTTGTTCATTTGGCCCTGCCGTTTTTACAGCATCAACATTTCTCTCACTCTTGCAATAACTTATTGAGGCTGATCAGGCAAATCTTTGTTCAGCAATAGTTGTTATTGGTGAATACCTATGCTATACAAAGTCTTCAGCAGAAATGGAATTATTCCATGGCCTAATCAATGGTCCATCACCTTGTTATCTATATCTGAAGCATCTACTGATCTCAAGTTGAAATGTATTCAGCAAAAACTCTTGTTTCATAGCTGTTGGATGCTACAAACCCTTTAACAAGTCAGCTTATTGCTGGAGGCACAACACAGCTAATGCTTGATATAATTATAATTATTATTTACATTTCTATACCACCTGTAGCAGAAGCTCTCTGGGCAGTTTACAAAAGGTGTTAGACTAAGCTTCTTTTAAGTAAACATTCTGGTCATGCCGAATACTTTTTGTTCTGGGGAAGAAGTCATTATACAGATACATTTTGTATTGGACACTCCTTAATATTTACTGATGTATATGCTCTTTTAGATGATCTACCTACTTCCAGGAACTTAATGTACGGTGAGTGAAAATGGACTCTCTGTGCCATTCCGACCACTAAAGGACTGACATTACCACATTGGCAGGTTAAATTCACCTCCTGTAATGCAGTGGTTTGAAGAGCCTACAACAGTTTCAACATTTGAATGGGTGGCACATATAGAAGCTTATTTGGATATTTGGTCTGTTTTTGTCAACTATGTATAGTTTTTAGAAACCTGGATACACATGTAGACATACAATTCATATGTATGCATTTAAACTGACACATTCAAATCTATGTAGTCATCTTTTTCTTTTGTTGCCATTGCAATCTTACTATAAAAATGTTTCAAAAAACCTGGAAGACACATTTATGCCAGTTTAAGTAGACTTAAAAACTATTAGCCGCCACTCCTGAATATTTGCGTGTGTGTGTGTTTTAAAGTGTTATGAGTGTGCTCCTTTAAATGTTGCTAAGTTTCAGGGGAGAAAAGGGGGGTGAGTAAGCGAGTGTGTTGGCAGAACTTGGAAGTGTGCTGGAGAGAGAAATAGATACTATTGGTCTGTCATCAGTTAACAGGCAGAGTTGTGGTCAGCCAACAGGTTGCAGAATCCAAAGAGGAATCCTTTTCATTGGATTCCCTTTAGGGATCTCTTTAGAGATCCAAAAGGAAAGGGAAGGAAGTAGAATTCTCAGAGGAGAGATTAGCCATCAGGGAAAGTCAAAAGCCAATATTGTCAAGCATTTTAAGAGTGTGAGAGAAACCTGAGTTCAGAAGGGAAAGCTTAAACTGAGATAAATAAAATACCTTCAGTTGAGAAAGGAGGATCTGTGTGTGATAAGTGTTCATCAAGGGAAAAAGTTTAATACCTCAGTCAGAAGTTATTAATGTACACTGATGATGTTTTATTCACTAAGGAAATAGGTTACTGAATATCTTGAAACCAACACACGTCTTGTGCAAATAAAGTTTTATTTTGTTTATTGTTAACTCAGAGTCCTAGGCTGTTTGAATACCAGCATCTCATCCTCAGGACCACATAGTCCAATGAAGGGGCCTTACAGCTTAGGTACAATATCAAAGAAAAGGTTAATTAATAAGTTGGAATTTAACTCCTAGTGGCAGCATAACATACTGGGAGAAAAAGAGTGAAATATCAAGAAAGTAAAGACACATAACTAAACAACTTATAGCCGTGTACTCACGACAGTGCATTTAGTTCCTATTTTCATACTATTCTAAGCCATCTTGTGAGAGAAGTGTGCTCAGAAAGGTAGGTTAAAGGTCTTATAACATTATGTAGTTTTATTAATCACTAACTTCTTTAAAACAAAACGGACACTGAATGTTACCACTGTATTCCAATAAAATTGTATTTTATTACATTTATACCCCAATTTTCTTCCAATCACATTAAATATCCCCTCAGAAAAACCCTGTGAGATAGATTGGACTGACCTAGCCCTAACCTGTTTCTTTTATATTAACACCTCTTACATGCAAGCACATGCATGTCCTTGCACACACAGACTCTCAGGCTGTCGTCTGCAGCACAAACCTTGCAAACGTGGCAAATCACATGGTTATAGACTGATAAGGCTGCCGTGGCAACATTGCTGCAGAGTGTCCTTCAAAGAGCAAACTGCAAATTTCACGTGTTTCATGAATTAGATCCGTTCTTCCCATTTGCATTAACTCTTTATGTTCCTTTATTTTTCCTCTCACTTTTGAAAAATGTCCCTTTAATTATTCTTGGGCTTTGCCTCTACATCTCCACCCTAAAAGCACTCTTGCTCATCTTCCTCCAAGCCATTCCCAGGATCAACACCTCAGCCTTGCCTGTGTGTTGCAGATCGTGAGCTGAACTGAAGGCATCGCCTCCTCCTGCTCCACTCAGGGCTTTCAGATGTGAGAGAGGTCGGCATAGTCTCTGACCTTACGCAAGACCTTTGAGGCCACCATGGGGCTCGGCCACAGCACGGCTGCCTAGCAACGGTCTTGCTGACTGGCAAAAGCATTCGTGATCCGGCTGTGGCTTTTTCCGGCCCACCAGTCACCAGTGGGCTGGATTGCTGGACTGAAATCTGCATCTTACTGGTGAGAGGCAAGCGGGTAACTCCAACTTGTAACTACAAATGTTTCTATTGCTGGAATGCCTACCTGCCTCCCCAGGGGATGAAAAGCAAAGCACGGTCATTGCACCAGCCTTGCTGAAAATCTACCTTTTTCCTCTTTTCTTGCCCCATCTCCTTTTCCATGAGGGCCATGCTTTTTTAGATTGCAAACCTGCAAGCAAGAACTGTTTACTAACCATAAACTGCTCCAAAGGTCTTTGTTTGTTTGTTTAAGGAAGAACACCAAAAATATTTTAAAGATACCTCTTTGCAGGCTTTCCTGCCAGAGATAATACAAGCAGCCTGGGTGGGTTAGTGAAAGAGACCAGTCTGGAGGAAGGGGATATGGCTAGAAGTGAAGGCCACTCTAGCCCATAATTCTACTCCTTGGAGGATGACCATAATTGCAGGAAAGAAGGAAGCTGCACTGGGAAAGTATTACCTGGGGTCCTGCTGCGTAGAGCTGCCACGTCCATAAAGAGGAATGACTTTGTCGCGGCTGATTCCGGCCTTGCACACAGGGCATTCTTGACGCTCCGGCCGTGTTTCTAGCCACTAGAGACAGGGGAGATAGGCAGCAGTGAATAAGAAGGAATCTTTGCCTCCCCCCACAAAAAATATGCAAATCAAGAGACAGCCCGATTCTCTGCTCCATGGCAGTCCAGAACCACATCTAATACAAGCATCAGATGGCAGATTATGGGATTGTCAGGCAGTCCCTGAGCACATCAGTATATAGACAGTCCTCCCAAACTTGGTGCCTTTCGAATTACAGCTCCAGCCAAGCTGAGTGAGGCTGATGGGAGTTATAGTTCAACACATCAGGAAGGCACCAGGTTGGAGAGGACTGGTATCCAAAGATATTCAGTTGAGCAGGTACCATAAGGGTCTCTGGCAACCATTAATGGCAAAGTTAATTAAGTATGAACTCATTAAGTATGAGTTCAGAAACAGAAGCCACAGGGAAAATAAAGGACACTACAAGAGTTTAATTTCAGGTCTATGAAATTAAATATTCACAAATATTCAAAGTGACTCCAACCAGGTGTGAAGTTCCTTTCCTTCCCCCCAAGTAAGCACAGTTGGTTTCTACATTAACTGGGATTTAAGAGGAAGTTTAGTTTCCAGACAGTTCTGAAATTCAATAATTTTCAGAAACAGACATGCTTCAAGAAAGGTTTATGGATAAAAGAAGAAAGAAAATATTAGGTTAATATACAAATTATTAGCATTAAAATGCAAAAAGGTGTCCAACTTAAAGTTATAATCAGTATAACTGAGAAAATATTACATATTGAAATAAAAACATCAGTTATGTAAAACTGCATTCAGGAAATGTTGTCACTCTTGCAACAGAACTGGGAATTTTAAATATAAATAATCAGAACTGTACCATTCTAATTTTATCCCCTCTTTTCAGTTCTTATTACGGAACAACATGCACATATGGTTTGTACATTTCGAAGTGTGGGATTGTTGTTGCTTTAATTATTTTTACCCTACAGTAATTTCTGAAGTTATTTTTAGAAATTAAATACAGCCAGAGATTAATGCAGCTGCAGAAGAACTCACTTTATTGAGCAGCTCTCCTAAGAAATACTTTACTAGATGAGACCAAAGGTTAATCTAGCTTGGTATTCTGTCCACAAGAGAAATCAGGCAGATGTGTGCTAAGGTGGTATACTAAGCAGAACTGAAACAGGCCCCCTTGATGGTTGCTATCAGGCAGAGGTACACTGTTTGGGTAACATTTTCTCATGTTAGCACGTTGAACAGCCCCTGAGAGATCCTTCAAGAATTCTTCAAAGGCACACATGCATTAAGATCTCCCGTAAAAGCCTGCTGCTTAAGCTGAGGCAGGCAAGGCACACACAATTTCTATCAGCAAAGGGCACATTTCCCAGCAGGCTCCTTCAGCCACAGATCACAAACACCCAACAGTGCTGACCTACACATTAGCATCTGCGTAAGAATATGTAAACCCAAGAGAGACTCACCTGGTGAAGACAAGGCCAGCTGGGGGAAAAAAAAGAGAGAAAACAAGAGCATAACTTTTTCTTCTAAAGAATCATCTGACTTTACATAAATCAGTAGAGAAATTCTGCAATAAAGCAGGACCACATAGAGATGTTCCACGTGACTGGGCCTGTACGTTTCCAAGTGTCAGAGCACAGTCTTAAGGGGAATGAGGCAACCACCTTGCTAAAGCTAAGCAGGGATGAGTCTGGTCCATGCTTGGAAGGGATTTGCCAACTGGAATTCTACACCAACAGAGTTTTGTGGTTGACAAAAGGCGAGATCTAAATATAATAGTATGTTTACTTCCTCTGAATACCTGCCAGATACAAGAGGATGTGATTGGCCCCAGATCACTCCATGTTCCTTATGAAAGCTCAGTCTTTCTGGTTCTAGTCAAACACTCTATAACTGCTAAACCATACTACCTACCCTTTCATGTTGTTCATTACCCCCTCTTAGATTTTAATTAAGAAGGGCTTCAGCTAGCGGGCAGAGCAATACAGAAATAAATAAAATAACCTAAGGATTAGCACTTTAAAATAACTTTGGTGCTACATCCGTGCCTTTACCTGACAATCGCAAATTCAACGGGTAAAGACTTTCACTAGCATGGACAGAAAGCCAGAAAGGAAACACTTCACCTGGTGCAAGTCTACCTGTCAAGCTGCTCCTAAAGTCAGGGGCATTCAGAAGAGCGGCAGCCCTCACTGCCAACCACCCTGCTCGGCACGTCTTCGTAGCAGCCCCTCATCCACCCAACTCCGCGGCGACACACCCCTTTCTGCTTCGCCCGCTCCCCCACCTCACCAGTACAGGTGGCCGCAGAGTCCGATGACGGCTTCCCTTGCAGGCTCCAGACAGATGTTACATTCGAAAGCGCTGCGATCGCGATTTGACCCCTCGGCTTCCCCGTCCGGAACTCCCGCACCCATCCCAGCCGCCGCCATCTTCCGCCCTCACTTAAACAGAAGGAGGGGGCTAGAACCGCCTTCTCCTTAGCCATTGGTTCTTCTGGCCGTCTTTCATACCTTGTCGACACTTCATTGGGCGCAGTCAAGTGTAGTACCTTGCAAAACCGATTGTACACGTTGGGTTAGTCCCGCCTACATTTCTGTGTGGGCGGCTCAAAGCTTTTTTTTTACGGGCTACATTTGTTGGGTGTCAAAACTTGAGGACATGTTATTGGTTGGCGTGTCTTGTTCTCCCGCCCTCTTGGATAGAACAAACTAAGGTGTCATGCTACTGGGGTGGGGGGGGGAGAGGCGTAGCCTGATTGACAGAAACTGAAACCTCTTAAAAGTCCAAGTAACCACTTTGAGGGCGGGAACTCGGGGAAGACGTTTTAATTCTTATTGAAGCGCACAAGAGCAAGCTCACGCCTTCGAAAAAGTCTAGCAGGTCGTGATTGGTTGTAGATTTGGGATCAAGAACTGGGAGAAGCCTTAATCTTGAGTGACGTGCAGCTTGGCTAATGAAATTTCAGGAAATTTCGATCAAAATGATTGGCATATTTGCGAAGGTTTATCGCGTATTGAGCTGTACCAAGATGATCCTTTTATGAGAGGCAGAGTCTTGGAAGGTCAAAGGTTACTTCCTTTCTGGGGCCTCAACTTCTAGTAAAATCTAAGCTAGCGTCAATAACTATGTTACCACGGCAACTGTAAAAGTGACCCTCCCTCCCTCCCTCCCCATCGTGCTGGGTGTCTGTGGCGACAGGCAGTCTACAGCCCTTCACTATGGTAAGCAGTCTCCACACGATATATAGTCATTAACTACTTGGTACAGGTTTAACTAAAAAAAAAAAAAAAGCAAAGTGTTACCATAGCAACCAAACAAGAGCTTAACAGTGATGCTCTTGCCTAGCAACCTTTCTATCCCATCCCATGCATTGCATCCCATGCCAGCAAGCCAAGCCAAGCCAAGCCAAGCCAAAACACAACAAATTGCAACAATTTCTCGGGCACACCTCAGCTTCCAGGAATGTTGTGGCCACCATGACAAGTCACACGTGCATCTGCCACTAGCATTCCAGCAACACACATTTCCCAACATCACTGCAACACGTTTTCATTCCCATCCCCCCAACGGCCACACAAAGGCTAGTCAGACATTACTACACACATCCACTGAAGTCTGTTAGGGTTGACTTGGTTAGATACTCTGCTAGACATACTTACTGGGAGCTTAAAACCAGTGAATTCAGTGAGATTTACTGCTGCCAGTTTTCCAATTGGCCTGTTAGAATGAGAATCATCCCTGCTATTGCCATGGCAACCCACAGCCATCCCACTTTATCAACTCTCCTTAGGCCAAGAGTGGAGGACGGAAGGGGTGAACATGCCTCCCTTCCTGTGTGCTCCTGAATCCTAAGAGAGCACAAGGCAGATCAATTGGTAACTCAGGGTAAGAGAGCCAGTGTGGTGCAGTGGTTAAGAGCATGGGACTGGGACTCAGGCGATCTGGGTTCTAGTCCCCGCTCAGCCATGGAGCCAACTGGGTGACTTTGGGCCAGTCACAGACTCTCAGCCCAACCTACCTCACAGGGTTGTTGTTGTGGGGATAAGATGGAGGAGGAGAATGATGTAAGCTGCCTTGAGTCCTTTGAGGAAAAAAGGCAGGATATAAATCAAAATAAATGAATAACTCAGACAAGGGCTGGGATGGAACAGTTGGTGCAAAACATATTGAGCACTGGAAAATGAGTCAGTCAGTTGCCTGTGGTGGCAGCTGGGGAGTGACAGCAAGGTGTTGCCAGAGAGATCTCGGGGGCCTGCCTCAGGCTTGTCACCTTCAGGTGTGATGGGGACACTGCCCCATCCCCATTAATGACTTAAAATTCAACTGCCAGTCCGAATGGCTTTTGTATATGGAATGAGTGGGCAAGTCATCTCTCTCTCTCTCTTTTTTAAACTTCAGGCAGCCAGTGACAGCCACAACTTAATTTCCCCGAATACCCCAGAATAAAACAAACCTGGCCATCATGGAAAATTGCAATAGCTGCTCTGTGCTGATCCCTAATGCTGTCACTACCAGTCAAACCAGGAGGGCACAGCAAATTAAGATGGGGGCCATGAGAGGGCACTTTGCAAATCTGGAACTAACTCTATTTTCATAAAATTTTATAATCTTTCTTCCCCTGTATCCATTACTGGATTGTAATTCTATACATACACAGCCATATCCAGTTGAAAATAAGGATATGGCTGGTATCCCACATACAATCAACAGTATAAGTTTACATGGAAGTTCTATTGAATTCAAAGGGTCCTGCATAAGTGTGCATAGGATTGCATTATTAAGCAATAGATGGGTAATCTTGCCTGAAGCACCCAGAGAGCTTTGACTCTCAGGCAGTCTAAAAATGTGTAAACAAATTAATAAATAGAAATGATCTTATGTACATGGACAGCCTGATTATGCAGAATTAAGTATGCTAAATCCAGTTATATTGCACTGCTAGTAATTAAGTCTGCTACACTGATTGGCTGAATATGAATGGATCTGTAAGTTTCTCAATGAACTAAACTCTAGTTCAATATTTGTAGGAGAAGGGAAGATTATTAGTTTGAGTAGGATGCAGATCCCACATAGAGCCAAGAGGAGGGCTGGAAAGAGGTGGTATGACTAGGTAGCCTACTTTCCTGAGGACAGCTCTTTATTTGGAGGATTGTCAGAGGATAGTCCTCTATTTGAAGGGATGTTAAGTCCAAGTCTGGTTTAAAGATAAACAACCATAAGAAGGGAGAGCTATAAGGACCTTGAGGCCAGCCATATACAGTACCTGCACAGTCAGACTAAGTAGGCATACAAGTCACTGGGTCACAGTCTGCTTCTCTACATTTAAATTCTGGTCAATTTGCTTAAGGAGCCCAGATCCCATCCATTTATACCAGCCTTCCCCAACCTTGTGCCTGCCAAACACGACCGGACTACAACACCCAGAATTCCGTCAATGGTCCTGCTGCATGGGAGTTCTGGGAGTTGCAGTCCAAATACTAAATGCACCAGGTTGGGGAAGGCTGATTTATACCAACTGGGAGGACTGCATGTCCATTGAAGAGCCTTGCTGGATCAGACTAAGGGTCCAACTGTTCATGGAATAGTCAACCAGCTGCCCATGGGAAACCCTCAGGGGCAGCATGTTAACCATAGGCAATTGGAACACCAAAGCAGAAAATAAAGCAAAATCAGATGTTGTGGGAAAACAGGGCCTGGGGTCAGAAGCAAGGCAAGAGAATGACTCACAGAACTGTGAAGGCAACCATCTGTTAATCACAAATATATCAGACAACCAATCTGATGACTGTACACATGGGAGAGCACCAGACAACCAGTATAGAAGTAAGTAAGAGGTGGGAAAGCTCCATTCTTGCTGCTAAAACAAGACTGGGAGCAGATTGTGGTAGTGACCCTGAACTATTATTATAAAAAAATCAGAGTAATGCTGAAAAAATTCTCTAAGAGAAACAGAGTATCAAAATACAATTTAAATGGCATTCCTGAGAAATGTAAAGCACACATAAAGATCAGCTTTGCATTACTAAACTCAATTGACTGTGAACCAGAAGAACCGTTGACTGAAACCAGTGGCAATATTAGGGAAGAATGTAAAAAGATAATTCCTGAAGCAAAAACGGAAGCAAAAAGCCTAGATGGATCAAAGAGAAATTCAAACCTCAGTTAGGGATGCTGAAAGACCAACAAGGGAACATACTATCTGACCAGGATAAAAGAAGGCGGAAATAATATTCAGAAAGACTATGCAGAAGAGATAAAAACATGGCTGGTTCCTTCAAAAATAACACCTATGAGGAAGAGCCTGCAATACTGAAGAGTGAAGTGAAAGCTATCTTGACAGGACTTGGAAGAAACAAACCACCTGGAGTAGGGAGGATGCCAAAAGAACTATTCCAAGCTGCAGAGACTGAACCAGTCCAAGTTCTTAAAAGGTTTTGCCAATGTGGAAAACAAAACCATGTTCCACAGGCTAAATACTTTTAACATACATTCCAATCCCCCAAAAAGGGCATGCTAAAGAGTGCAGCAACTATAGGGCCACTGCACGAATTTTCTATGCAAACATAGTGATGTTCAAGCTTAAAAACAAAGGTAAAAACAAATAATTTTACCCTATACAGAATGAAAAATGCCCTGATATTCAAGATTAATTCCTGAAAGGAAGAGGCACTCAAGATCATGTTGCAAATATACATTGACTACTGGAGCGCAGCAAAGCATTTCAGAAAATCAGTCTTTATATTATAGCAAAACCTGTGACTATGTGGACCACCACGTCCTGAAAGAAATGGGTGTGACTTGGTACTTGATTGTTCTGATGCAAAACCTGTACTGCGGACAAGAACCTACACTGAGGATGGAATATGAAGAAACAGAAGCAATGGTGTCAAGCAAGGGTGTATTTTATCTCATCTGCTCAATTTGTACACAGATCATACCATAAGAATAGGTGGATCTGGATCAGAGAAAGCAGGAATGAAAACTGGCAGAAGTTACTTCAATAATTTCAGATAGGCAGATGATACTATATTACTGGAAGAAAGTACCAATTAACTGAAAGGACTCCTGATAAAACTGAAAGTTCAAAAGCAGGAGTGCAACTGAACATTAAGAAAACAGAAACTACGAGTATGAAGAATTATAGAACTTTACTGTTAACAATAAAGAAATTGAAAAGATTTCACATACCTTGGCTCGTTCATCAATTCAAATGAAGAATACAGCCAAGAAGTTAGAAGATTGAGACTTGGAAAGGTAGCAATGAAGAAACTAGAAAAAACCAAGAGCAAGGTCATCCACAATATTTTATTGCCGATCACTATGTATGGGTGTGAAAGTCAGACAATGAAGAAAACAGACAGGGAAAAAATGATTGATTGATTGATTGGAGCATTGGAGAACTTTGTGAATACCCTGGACTGACAGAAAGATGAACAAGTGAGTGCTAGATCAAATCAAACCAGAACTTGTCCTGGAAGCAAAAATGATGCAACTGAAGCTCTGGTTCTATGGGCACATTGTGTGAAGTCAAAACTCATTGGAGAAGACAATAATGCTCTGAAAGTTGAAAAGGATGACTAAATACAAGATGGAACGATTCCACAAAGGAGGCCACAGCCTAAAGTTTACAAGAGCTGAGCAAGGCTGTAAATATAGGACATTCTGGAGGATGTTCATTCACAGGGTTGCCCTAAGTTGGAGATGACTTGATGGCACACGACACCAAACACATGAGATTCAGATGTGATAATTAGCATTGAAATATGAAATCCCTTATTTACCAGGCATTGGACATTCATTTTTAACGATGTATACTAATTCATGTTTCAACCCTATGCCTGCTTACTTAGGAAAAGATTCACTGAACTCCTTGAGTATCGTTCCAAATAAACACACATATTTTATTCGAAGCAAATGTCAAGAAAGTCTCTGGGCAGTTCAAAGAGGATATGAAGTTTATTGCAGCGTGAGCTTCCACAGACAAAGTAATCATTTTCATCAGAGGTCTCAAGGAAGTGTTAATACAACCATCCCCAACTTGGTGATCTTTGGATGGATTGGACAACATCCAACTTTGGATGGATTGGGCAAGACTGGGCATTGTAATTATAAATGCATAGAATAGATACCAAGTCACACCATCCCACTCAGATTCAGTTTTGCCTTGACCACCTCTCTTGGCAACTGGTTCCACTATCGTACCGCTCTGACAGCCAGGAAACTTTTCCTGATGTCTGGCCTGAATCTGGTGTGTTGCAGTTTAAGTTTGTTGTTCCATGTCCTACACTCATGGATGAGTGAGGGGTGAGTGAGAATATAACTTTTCCTTCCTCCTTGCCTTTGAGGTACTTGTAGAATGCTATCATATTGCCTCATAGCCTTCTCTTCTCAAGGCTAAACATGCCCAGCTCTGTCAGCCTCTCCTTGCAGGGCTGTTTCCAAATCCTGGATCATTTCTGTTTCTAAATCCTCTGAACTCTTTCTAGCTTTTCCTGCATCTTTTTCAAACCTGGGTGTTCAGAACTGAACATAGTATTCCAGATGAGGTCTGACTAGTGCATTGTAAAGAGGAATTAGTACTTCTCTTGTTCTGGAAGTTATGCTTTTATTTATGCATCCCAAAATAACATTTGCTCTTTTTGCAGCTGCGTTGCTGGCTCATGTTTAGCTTGTTGACTACAACTACTTTAAGGTCTTTTTGTTTTTTAGTGCCATTGAGCTGAGTATTCCCCATCTTGTATTGATGCATTTGGTTTTTCCCTCCTTGGCATTTGTCCCTGTTGAATTTAATTCTGTTGCATTCTGACCAATGTTCTGGGTTGTCTAGGGCATCCTGGATCTTCTTTTTGTCTTCAGGGTGTTAGCTATTCTGCCTAGTTTAGTGTTGTCTGCAAATTTAATTATTATTCCCTTGATTTCCTCATGTAGATAATTAAAGATGTTGAGGAGCACTGGTCCCAGGACTGAGCCCTGTGCAACCCCACTTGCTACTTCTCTCCAGCTTGAGAAGGTGCTGTTGATTCCTGTGCCTGATTTTGTAGCCAGTTGTGGATCCACCTAATAATAGTTTTGCTGAGCCCACTTTTTGCTAGTTTACTAATCAGGATGTCATTAAGCACTTTGTTGAATGCTTTGCTAAAGACTAGGTAAATAATGTCCATCGTATTTCCACTGTCCATTTGAGAGATTACCCAGTCAAAAAAAATAGTTAGTTTGGCATGACTTATTCTTAAGAAATCCATGTTGGCTTCTGTTCATCACTACATTTTCTTCAAGGTGCTTGAAGACTAATTTTTTAAATAATTTACTCCAGTATATTCCCAATGATTGATGTTAGACTGAGTGGTGTATAGTTCCCCAGTTTCTTTTTTCCCCTTTCTTGTAGATGCAGACAACATCAGCTCTACTCCAGTCATCCAGCACTTCCCATTTTCCAAGATTTCTCAAAGATTATAGATAGTGGTTCTGAGAGTTCTTCCACCTGTTCCTTTATGACTCTAGGATGGAGCTTGTCAGATCCTGGGGATGTGAATGCATTAAGCTCATTCAGATGATGAATGGTGCTCCTTGACCATTCATCTGTTCATCTTAGGCTGCCATCCGACCTTTCCTCTTGTACTTCCTCCTCTGTAGGCAGGTATTTTCTCATGTGGGAGAAGACTGAGCCAAAGGAGGAGTTAATGAACTCTACCTTTTCCTTGTCATCCGTTCTTTTTGCCACCCATGTCGAATTGTTGAGCTTCCCTCTCTTTTGTTTGTCTTTTGTTTTGGATGTAACTGAAGGAGACTTGTTTGGTTTTTAGCAAGCGTTGCTTGCTAGTTCATAACCTGCTTTAGCCTTTCTCACTCCGTCCCTGCAAGTCTTTGCTGTCTGTTTATACTCTTCTCTTGTGGCATGATCTCCCTTCCACTCCCTTTATTGTTTTCATGTTGTCTCTTAACTTTTTGTGGAGCCATGAGGGCTTCCTCTGTTGACTTTTCCACTTTTTGGGGTTGAAATTAGTCGTTGTTGTGCTTTGAGAATTTTTTTTTAAGATTCCCCATCCCTCTAGGAGTCCCTTTCCCTTTAGAGTGAGTTACCAGGGGATTTTAATTAACATTGATTTGAATTTCTTAAGGTTGGGCCTATTGAAGTCAAGGATACCTGTTTGGCTACAGTTGACTGTTATCTTCATAAATGAGAATTCAAGAATAGCATGGTCACTTTCCCCCAGGGAACCTGTGACTTCTACTCTGTCCACTAGATCCCCCCTATTAGTAAGACAGATCCATCCAGAATACGTCAGGTAGGAGAAGGCTGTGGTCAATTGAGCAACCCTGGTTGCCGGTAAAATCCAACTTGAGTCCTACTTAGAACAGTCCCATGAAATGAATGGGACATAAGTTACAACTAGGGTACAATAATTGAAATTAACATGCCTTCGATTAGTCATGACTAACTTAAGTCCCATTCATTTCAATGGCTCCACTCTTGAGTAGTCATATGTAAAGTGGGATTTTATCCTCGATGTCATTTATGTAGACTTAACCTGGCAGATTTAACCTTAACTCAAATACTTTAGCCACCTAATGAGAAGGATGGACTCCCTGGAGAAGACTCTAATGCTGGGAACAATAAGATGGCAAAAGAAGAAGGGGACGGCAGAGGATGAGGTGGCTGGATGGAGTCACTGAAGCAATCGGCGTGAGCCTAAGTGGCCTGCTGGGGAAGGTGGAGGACAGAAAGGCCTGGAGGAGTGTTGTCCTTGGGGTCGCGATGGGTTGGGCACGACTTCGCGACTAGCAACAACCTGGCAGCAAGCTCTTCTCCGGCTCGATGAGGGCGAGGGCTTTTACTTCCGAGTAGGCCAGTGGCTGTCGTGCGTTGTCTCTTCCATGCGCAGCTCCGTGCTTACCTCCACTGGAACAGAGAACCCGTGCCCAGTTCCACACGTACACGCCAAAAGGGCAACAACAACGCGGCCGCCTGTGCATTCTTTTCCTCGACGGAGGAGGAAGAGGAGGAGGGGAAGGCAACACACACAGAGAGAGCAGCCCCTGCCACGGCCGGATGGATAGCGGCAATGAATGAACGCGAATGAATGAACGACGCTCAGCGAAGGGGAGGAGGAAGAGGGCGAGGAGGAACAGAGAAGCGAGGCTGCGCGAGAGGCGCCAGCGGCAGAAGAAAAGCGGCGGTGCTGCTGAGTGAGCAGAGTGGTCACGGGGTGGGGGGGCAGAGCGCGCGCGAGGGAAAAAAAAGGAGGGAGCAGAGCCCGGCTGCCATTGGCGGCTGGGGCTGCCCATCAGCTGCCCCCTACTTCCTGCCTTTCTCCCCCAACCCCCGAGGAAGTGGCCCGCGCCGGTAGCGGCATCAGTTGCCAGCCAAGCTCGCGCATCCGACACCTGACCCTCCCCCTCCTCCCCCGCCGACCCCCCCTCCTCGGGAGCCTTTTCCTCCTCTCCTCTTTTTATTCCCCACCTTATTTTTTCCTCCTCTTGCAGCGCATCCCTACAGCAGCAGCAGCGGCAAACGCTGCACCACCATCTCCACCATCATGGCCTGGTCCAGGAGGCCCAGGGGGTAGCCGGGCGGGGGCCTTCAGGAGCCCCGCGCCCCGCGCCCCCAGCAAGGGGGCCCCGCGCAGCCAGGTGAGGCGAGGGGCCATTGTATTCACGCTGGGCGGGTTCGCTTGCGGGAGGAGGAAGGACGCTTCTGGGAGGCTTAATTTGGGGTGGGCTGAGGAGGGGCGCCTTCTAGGGTGTCGGGGTGGGAGCTTGAACTTGGGGCAGGTATCCTTGGTGGGGCTAGGCTACATTTTTTGGCCCGAAAGGGGCTCTCCCTCTTCAGATGGGAATGCGCGTTACTTGAATTACTTCTAGGGTGGGAAGGCAGCCCTGCCGTGTTTGGGAGCGGGGTGGGGCGGAGATGGCTTCCCCTCCTGGCCAGGCTGCCCCAAAGACCGACGCCGATGGCGCGACAGCTGCTGGGTTTTTTGGGAAAGCGGGAGTGGAATGAGAGGCCAGGGTCACTGAATGCTGCATGTGTCGGGTGGGGGTTGTTACAGTGATGCGGGGAAGGTAGGGATTTTTGGGGGGAAGAGTGGATGGGAAGGATGCTTGGGGGAAATCTCGGGTGGCTGTGATGGGGATGCTGGAGAGGTACAATGTGGGGTGCTTGTGGTGGAAGAGAGCTGCGAGGTCCAACTCGGAGGAAGGAGGAGGGCCTTGGATAGGGCCTGGAAAGTTAACGTGTATGGGGCGGCTGTGATGGAAAATACAGATTGGGGGTAATTTTCAGTGGGGAACAGCTTGGAGATAGGGTATGTGTTCATAGGGAAAGCAGGGTTTGGAATGATTCCTACTATGATGAATGCTACAATTTGTGGGAGGGAAAGAGGGGAGGGGGAGGTATAATTGCCGGTTGGGAGGAGGGAAGAAAATTGAGGTGCTGGCGGTGGTAGGGGTTTGCAGCATGGAGGAGCGCCCTGAGCTGCTTGTGATGGGTGAGAATTGGAAAGCATGACTGGATATGTGTGCTGCGAGAAGAGAGAATAGCCCCTGGGTGTTAAAGCTGGGCAAAAGCTATACAGGAAGGGATGTTTGACATATTGCTTTGGGTGGAACCTTTCCGGAAAGGACTTGTGATAGGAAAAGCTTGGGGGCTATGATTTTGAAAACTTATTTGGAAGATACGGGTTGAATGAAGGTGCTTGAGTCAGTGAAGGGTGTGAATGTGTAAATTTGTTCTGGGCTAATTTTTATAGCTGCTGTAGAAGGCAGGCCTCTGGTATTACTTTATTTTTTGTTTTAATGGTTGGGAGGGCTTGTAGCTCAGTAGCAGAGCAGCTGCTTTGCATACAGAAGGCCCCAACTTGGAGCCCCTGTTCTGAAACCCTGCAGAGCCACTGATAATCAGTGCTGGGTGGACCAAGGGCCTGTCTGCCCATCATTAGCATTGCACGGTGGTTATAACCCGCTTTTTCCTCTTGTGAGGAACCCACAGTGGCTTATATAGCTCCATTTTATCTTTACAACAACCACCCTACTGGCAAACTACCATGGATGAATTAACCTGGAGGGCTTTGTGACATATGCTAGCTGCCATTTTCAATATGCAAGCCACTGCAAACACATGTCTTATGGGTTGTTCCAGGGTTATACTAGAATTTTTAAAGCTTCCCATAACCCACTGTGCCTGTCTGCTGCGAATTACATATTCAAAATGGTGGTTGGAGCACTCTACCAGTCATTGGGACTTAAACAAGTCACAGTGGGGTGTGGTGATTGTACAAGGCATTTGTTTCTATGATGCTGCTGTATTGGGTATTTAAGTCTTGTGAATCCCATTGTATGGATGACAAAACTGAGGCTGAACTGTCGTGGCTGAAGAGGGGCTTCAATTCAGGGCAACTGGATTTATTCCTGTCCCTCCAACATGGGATATGTTCACATGTTGCACTAGCCCAATGGCAGTAAGCCACAATGGGTTGTTTCTGTATGAAACAGTCCACAGGGGTTTGTCAGACAATTGGGTTCCCTCACCCTCCTCCTCTCCCACCACAATCTTGACCTGTCTCACACATGCCATGGCTTTTTGTTCCCATTAAACTTTTTTTTCCAGGAGATCATGAAAGCTAACCATTACACCAACTGCTGTAATCCTTTTTTTAGCAGCAGGCAGTCCCTTCAAATTTGTGGTTGTCAAATATTCACTTAATTACTTTATACAAAATGTTTTTGCTTGAAACAGTTGCATTTTATTTTGTTTTTGTTTTAGGCACAATTGTGCAACTGCAGGGATTAGAAGCATCAGCTGAGGCAATGTCCTGGGAGGTGCCTGCTGGACAAATACAGAAGGTACAGTCTTGGACATTGCCCAAAAGAGGCTCCAATTGCTTTCCCCTCTTTTGGTTTGTCCAGACAGCTAACAAAAAAAAGAGCTTACCAAGAAAAGAAATGAGATGGATCATTGAATGGAAAAGGTTAGGATTTGGGATTCTTATCTCCGCCACATGTTATCTCCCATTATCTCCCTCTCTTGGTGCACTTCCAAGCCTTTAGGTGCTCTGAAAAGTGCAAAAGTGCACACTCCCTTTTTTAAGGGAAGACATTCTGACAGCTTTGACAGCTTGGAAGGATACCAGCCTTTTGTTTATATGAAGATTCTTCGTGCCTTTGGTTTCGCTTGATAGCCCATGTTTTACCAGCTCTCAAGAAATGGAAGCAGGGAGAAAAATATTTGGCGCTTCTCCTGGGTAATGACCATGGTCGACAGCAGACACCCACCATATCAGAGCTTCAGTTGAGACATGAAATCTGCACAGTTGTGCAACTGTGTATAATTTTTAGATGCAATGTTTTTCCACAAAACAATAATAGAAAAGTTTTGGCAACCACAACTACAACCACAAGCAACAGCTGTCTAACGCTGTCAAAATGAGGAGAAGAAGCTAGCTTAGAAGCTGACCTTTGTCATCTCTCCCTTGGAAACAGTTTAAAGAGAAAAAAACCTCAGGAGATTCACTGTTGCTCATAATTAAAATTGGGAGAAATGCAAGCTGGTGGGGGACATTTCATTTGGGTGCTTTGGGGACAACTGCAGTGGTGCGTGCCAAGAGGAGGTTGTCACTCGTGGCTTTGTGGCCAATTCCTAGATGACACAACAACCCATTGTGGGTACAGCAACCCTTGGAAGGGTAGGATCTTGCAAATATAATTAGAAGTGAAAAAATAGAGCAATATAGAAATGTAGGAATTGTGTATAGAACCTTTTCAACCCTGTTTTAGCAATATTTGGCCAGAGTGGGGGAAGAACCAGTAGACCAGAGTTAAGTAATCTTTTGGGGCTATGGACACAATTGGTAATTTGACAAGTGTCAAAATGGCTGCCATGGGAGGTGAGGCAAAGACAAGTAATCTCACAAGAGGAAAACAAGTAAGATATAGATGCAATAAGCTTCCCAGAACACTTGAATTACAAGGTAGGGAAAGGGTCTAGGACCCAGCAGCTGAGGCTAAACTAGTTTAATTCCTAGTTTCAGCACCAACAGAAACCTATTTCACAGCTAAATGTGTTTATTAAAAATAAATTAGGAGTTAAGGCACCCTAAGGGGGAGCATTGGTGCCCCTTGGGCGTTGCCAACCATTTGGTTTGGCTGGACTGCAAGGAGGGGGACAAAGTGGTTACGACAGTCAGCATTTTTATGCTAGTTTTTCAGGTCTTCAGTGTGCTTTGCCTACATATTTCAGTCATTCTTATGATACATAGGGGAATCCTGCTGCCCTTGTGCTACAGATGGGAACACCGAGGGTGAAGACCAGTAGGTCCCTGAAGCTGCAATCCTACACCCTCTTCACCTGCTTCTGAGTAAACACAGACTCAGCTGCATGGCATTTGTAGCTCAGGGCAGAATTTCAACAGGAGCCTTGAACTGGAATTTGCAGTGCAGCACAATGATGAATTAAGGTGGGAGGAATCCTTCAGAGATCACTTGAATGGAATAATGATAAGGAATATGAGCTGAAGTGACTGCTTAGATAGGTGGTATTGTAGGAGGCAGAAACTGGGCAGATTGCTAGTAAAGTAATACCTGGGCTCTAGAGCTCTTTGCATATGACTTTTAAGTAGATATGTTTGCACAAGGTGGTGTGAACAAATTCTCTGGATATATAAAGGGTTAGGTGAGAGGAGAAAACTGCAGAGAGAGGGCTTTCTGATTATTACCACAGGATTTATTTATGATTTATATCCTGTCTTTATTGTCCTCTTGCAAGGAACTCAAGGCTGCTAAGAGGACTCATCCTCCTCTCCATTTTATCCTCACTGTAACCTTGTGAACTAAGTCAGGCCGAGAGTCAGCAACTGTCCCAGAATTACCCAGGCAACTTCCTAGTCAAGTGGGGACTAGAACCTGGACCTTCCGGGGCTGTGTAGCCACTAGGTCGCACTGCATTTTTGTTTATTATTAATTTATTAGTTGCGGATAAGTGATTTCTCTCTGCAGTCCTCCACCAACCTTCAGGAGCAGTAGCAGACAACCACTGTACCGTAAATTGCTGCGTCAAGGGCAAACTCCTGTTGATAAGATCATGGCTGCAAAGAGCCCTGCTGGACTCGACCAAAGACCTGCATATTCTAGTGTACCCATTGTTCCGCTTTGGGTATTAGACGAGTGAGAGGAAAGTGTGTCTGCCTACTTTTTCCACATCTGTATCATGTTTCCCCTTACTTGCCTTTTCTTTAAGCTAGAGAACCCCAGCTGTGCTAAGCTTTCCTCATGGGGACTTGTCGCAGCCCCTTGATCGTCAGGGCCTGCCCCTTTCCACCTCTGCAATAACCATTTATAAATATGATCCCCCAAACCGTACACAGCATTCCCACAGTGCTCACACTGTAGATTTGTGTAAGGGTGGTATGATATTGGCAGGTTTTTCTTTATTCCTTTCCTAATTATGCCCAGTGTGTCAGTCTGTCTTTTCTACGCTGGTCGTGGAGGAGGCGGCGGCGGCGGCTTCCCTCTTCTGGCAGCAGCCTACTTGGCTTCTGTGCATGGTGCACGGGAGGGGCCGCATGCTCCGTTCTTTCTCTGGCAACCCACTCGTTTTGCAAGCCTTTTCTTGTCACCTGTGGCTATCAGACTAGCACTGG